GGGCCTGGAGAGCGGCGTCGTGCCACCGCTCCGGTAGCGGGGGCGGGCAGGGGGGGAGCTTCCTCGGTGGTCCCGCTGCATCTTCTCTCCCTGCCCTTAAGTTTGGTCAGCGAACACGCCCGTGTCAGTGAAATAGAGTCCTCGGCGTGACTGGTTGGGCCCCTACTTTCCACGGGAGCGCATTCAGCAAGGGAAACGAGGGCAGTGAAGTCCCTGTGTCCAGTCACACGACATGTTCGGTGGTGATAGTCAGGGGGTTTTAAAAAACACGGGCATCATCCATCGAAGTGTTACACCCTGACGTTGAAACTCAGGTTGTTAGGATACCTGCAAGGAGTGACTGCAGCGAGCGTGTCGCACGGCGGCTTCTGACAGGAGCAGAGCGGTTCAGCCCTGGGCCTTGCGTTGCCTGAGCCCCCGGGGCCGGGACGGCTGCCCGGCTTGCTTCGCTTGGCTGCTGAAGTACGAGAGATGCTTCTCTGCCTTAGCCGTTCTTATTAGATACACGTAGCAGTGGGTACAATAGTCTGTCTCTGCTCTTGAAAGTATCGGTGCTGTCAGAGCCTTGAAGTTGTATGCAGATTGTTAGAAGTCTTTTAAACTAAGTGTAGTTTACTGAGGCTTTCATAGGGAGAAATAAGGAAGAATGTCAGAGGCCTTTCCAGTCAATCTACAGCTATATTTACACTTAAACTGATTATTTCAGGTGTCTGCAGAGTAATTTTTTGAAAATAGACCTGCCTTTTTTGTAAAAATTGTCACTTAGTGTGGCAAAGCTGATTTAGTGTTGGTAGGGTTATAAATAACTTTATTAGTATCATACTCCTGAGTGGCTTGCTGAAAATCTGGAAAGTGCTCAAAGTGGTGTTCATATTTCCAGGCTTTCTGCCTCAGTGTTGGCTTGAATGTGATACTGCGGGTCTTATCAAATACAAAAAAGAAAAAATAGGAAGTAGGGTTTAACTTAAATCATCTGCCAACAGTTGAATTGACTGCAGTTCTGTGGTGTTGATGAAACTGATGTAATTTCCATAGTTGTAAGAAACTGGCTTGATTGTAGTGTTATGAATTGCTTTGTGGTGAAAAAAAAAATGGTCAAGATACATACTGATGTACCTGAAAGACAGCTGAACAAATAACTTACAAAGGGAATTGTTTTTTTTGTGTGTGTGTGTGTGTGTGTGTGTGTGTGTGTGTGTAGTTCCTAACTGTGTTCCAGCAATTTATTTAAAATTTTAAAATAGTTTAAAATCACTGGCACACTGACTTTTCGGGAGAAGAAAACATTAGAACAGGCTTCTTGATAGAGCAACTGAAAGTTGTAACTCATCTAATAGTAGCAATATGTTAAATAGTAGATAGAAGTAGGTTTTTTTCACGATGGTAAAGGAGGAACAGTACTGTACACAGTATTGTTATAGAGGAGAAGGAAATACTTTTTTTTTTAAAAAAAAAAGTGCTGTTTTAGTCTTGATTTGAGTGTTTATGGAAGAAGTGTATATTTAGGATTGACGGGAGTGAAGTGTGTGCCTGGAATTGTTGCATTTAAGATTAAAGTTATGATTACATAACAATAGAAACTTAGTGAGGTGCACTGCATTTCTCATTTGCACAAATTTTCCTCTTCATTTCTGGTTAATGGTTATCCTTTATGCAGCTCTGCATTGAAGTATAACTTAGGTAAATCATTATCTTTTTACCTTGAAGAAATTAGTGTCCTTTTATGCTTTGAAGATGCTTGTGCCTTTCTGTCCTGTGGTGGGGAGATAAATGAGGATACTTTAGGCTTTAAGAGTATGCTGTCTGAACAGTTTAAACATAGTCCACAGTCTAAAATTTTCTGACTTCAGAGGAGGAAAATTTCAAGTAGGGAAAGGAATTTGAAGTAGGGATTAGTGTTTACTTAGTTTTGAAATTAAATGGTGCTTTGATATCAGAATTAAGTCATATTTCAAATTATTTATTACTCTCCTGCCTTGGTGTCTCATCCTGTTCTTTTGCTTACTGTGTTTTTCCTACAGGGTCAGCCACTGTTTCACAACTGGCACAGAATTAGGGCTGATGATGGGTGGCAGTAAGTGCACAGAAAGGAGGTGGCTGAGTGACTGTTCGTCAGTGCATCCCCTGTCACTGGAGAGATTGTTTTGCAGTCACAGTCTGGAGCTTGTATATTGATCAACCTCAGTCATGAGGAGTGATTATCTTTTAATATCTAGGCTGTGAAAGTCTAGCCAGGTGGGGAAACTTAAAATCAATTGTTTCCAACAACAGTCCAGTGAATCAGTTTGTGTGAGGTAAGGACGAGTGGGAACAAATAGTTCATTAGTTAGAATCATAGAATATCTCGATTTGGAAGGGATCTCTGAGTTACTCCTTGGTGGTTACCTGTGTGCTTATATTTACTTTGCAGGAAACTTCAGTTGTTTGAGATACATTAAGTTAGAAAAGGCAGGTTATCTGAGGTGGAAGAAAATACACCTGGGCAGTTAACAGAATAGTTAGTTTGTGTGTTTATGCCTAAGGTTATCTCTTTTTACTTTTAACTTCTAAAACAATAAAGAATTAGGAAAAACAAAAGAATTACAAGTGATAGTGTTACAAAGGAAGACTTCAGAAAACAAATTTTCAAGAGATCTGAACAATGATTTAGTGGTATGAACTTCTGCCTTATTTCACTGGAATGAACGTTGATTGAAACTTTACATGTAAATATTAGTTTTTTACTACTCATTAAACTGCATGTTGGTTTTGTTTTAAAAATAAATATCTTTAAGGCCTACAGTGGCTTTGGCCTACTTACTAGAAGTGGATCAGTAATATATAAATCATCAAAATAACTATCCAAACAAACTTATACAGGGAAAATCTGTACTGATCACATAGTTTAAAGCAAGTAATTATTTAAATGATTTATTAAAAATACATAATTAACCAGCAGTCAGTGAATTACATAGCTGTGGTCCGTATCAGCAACATGATAAATAACAATACTAGATGTACACAGAATGTTATTACACCACCACAAACTTCAGAATGCCTGTTTGTAATCCCCACAAGTTCTAATCGCATTCAATACACGTGCCCCCACCCAAGGCAGTGTAGGTTATAGGCACACCCTGCCTCTTCTGCTTCTTTCATGCTTCCGTTTGAGCTGATTCCTTCTTTGCTTTAAAACTCTAATTTTTCTGCTCTTCCAGCTAATGGCCTTATTAATCTTCAGTGTGATGAATATTGAGAAGCTGCTATCTCAGACAAGTTTTGGGTGAACTCTTCCATGTAGCATCTATACTTGCATTCCTCTGTTAACAGCTGTTATCTAGGCTGTTTTACTAAGTGTTATGCAGCCTCTTCATCCCCCCAAAAATGTGGAGCATTCTACCTTGCAAGGTCTACCCCCAGCTCCGCAGTAGTCACTAAACTCTTGAATTTACTGTTTGTGAGCATGATCTCATGATAAATGGTCTGTAGCTTTTCATCTGTCTAGATACATGATTCCTATCTGTATTCTAGCATGAACACTGAGAGTTTCTATTTTTAAATGCCAATAATAACCAGAAATGCTGAACTTTATTGTAGTGTTCTGTCGCTTCTGAAGTGTTACAAGGAGGTGGTAATGTCAGACTTTGTCAGTGAGTGTGAAAGCTTAAGCTCAACCTCCTTGTGTTTTCAGCCTGAATTTTCATAATTATAATTTCATATTTTATTTCCATTTGCAAGACTACTCTGCCCAACGTCTTTTTTAGAAGCCTTATGAGTTGAGTAAACATAGATTGGTCAGCTTTCGGCTTATTTACAGCTATTAAAATGCAGAAGACCTGTACATATTTGATGGCTTTTTGGTCCTGACAGACTTCCGTCCAATCATGAAATGATCTGCTTGCTTATACTGTTAGTGCACTGAATCACTTGGGATCGTGTATCCATGAACGTTTTGATCTTACAGAAAGTTGTTCGTTAAAAAACAAGTTGCTACTGTTGCTGAGGGAGAAAATAGCTTTTAAGAAGTCTAAAATAGAACTTAGTAAATTTAGGAGGACTGTCAGTACATTAAGGATTAGATCCACTCAGCATATTGCATTTGGTGTAGCTGCTTTGAGTAGTGTTTTGGAGAATTGGGATGTCTGTTGAAAATGGTTGGCTGGGCAAAGTAGCTTCTTTGTTTGTTGGGAGGCAACAGGGGAATGGGAGAGCACAGGTCTTGCTTCTTATATAGCTCCTTTCATACCAAGTTGTTTGACATTCTGGTTATGATCAGCGGAAACCTTCTGGGTTAGATGTGATGTAAATGAAACATGTAGCAAGTAACAAAAGCATAGCAGTCTTCTCACCCTTTGGAGGTCATGCCTGAAGTGTCTTCTGCTTATGTGTGTTCCTGAATGTAGATATTTCATTGCTGAGATTCATCAGTGCTGAGCTAACAAGAGGTTACTTCCTCGAACACAATGAAGCAAAATACACAGAGCGGAGAGAGAGAGTATACACATGCCTGCGGATACCAAAAGAACTGGAAAAGGTGAAGTATACTTTAAGATTTGTTTTAATTTAGAAATGCCACAGATTTCTTCAAATTATTTCAAGAAATATTTATTTTTTAAAAGTTTTGCTACTAAAAAAAGATTTTAACATCTATAATGATTAACTTTCAGTGTTAATGACTTAAATGTTTTGGGGGGTTTTTTTGCCTAGTTTTGCTTGTTGCTGCTGGCAACTCATTAGACTAACGTTCAAGTCCAGATGATGAAAAATTAATTCCAATATGAGGATGTTACCAATCCTTAAAGAAATAGTGAAGCAAAAGAAAACTTTTTACAGCATAATGTAATTTTCCATTTAAAAAAAAAAAAGTTTTAAAGATTTTCCCAGTCTGAAATGTTTTGAGGGTGTGAAGATTTCAGTCTTGTAAAAATACAGTGGTGGGTGACTTTCTGTCTAAGGTTTTTGACTTAATTGTCATAGCCTTCTATTTTGCTTCTTGCCACTGTTTACCACATCTTCCCTCTCTATCCCAGTGGTATGGCCTTTCCTGAGGCATTCCTGCCACCTCCTTTATGTCAGTTTAGATATAATTCTGTGTGAGTCAACTCCAGTGCTGTAATGTAGAAGAATTTCATTCTGGATTAACCATTTTGATTTGGGAGGCAGCAGGAATATGATCAAGGATGATGAGTAAGGAAACATTGGTAATAAGGTTTGGCAAGGCCACAGTATAAGGATAACAGTAAAAGTATGCTGCTAAAATTCTCAAAATCCCTAAGGATGAAGTTATGTTGTAGGGCTAAATCAATTTAACTCTAACTTTTATTTAAGGAAAAGCCTCGTTTCACTGTTCCTCCCACTTCAGTCTCCCGTCTTATGCATTTTGCCTGTCTTGCATGAGCAGTGGTGCTTGTTGAACCATTCTAAGCATTAAATCAGCTATAATTTGGCAGTGAATGTTTCACTTTTCTTGCTCTGTTTGTTCTTTGCTAGGATAGTGAGCTGAATTGCTTAGCCAGTATTCTTAAGAATCCAGAGCCTACCTTCCAGAGTGGAAGGGGAGCTGTCTAGCTTGCGGTGAGGGTAGAAAGGTGAAAGAGCAACGGAGGAGGGAAGGAGAGAGAGTAGGTTTCCCTTTGTTATCAGCACAGAGGTTCTCCCTTCATTATCATTAAATTCATCCTTGGACCATGATGAGACCTGGTTTTACAAAACTAAATTCCCAGTCAGTTTCTGCAGAAAATCACTGAATGAATGAGATTGGGATGGACCTCTGGAGATGATGTAGTCCAAGCCCTTGCTTAAAGCTGCGTCACTTAGAACAGGTTGCTCAGAACCAGGTCCATATGGGCTTTGAACACCTTCAGGGATGGTGTCTTCACATACTCACTGTTTACTCATTCCACTTTATGGTGGAGTATCCCGGTTACAGTAGAGTCTCAGCTGAACAACATAGCAGTTCTAAATCATCTCCGTTGTAATTATATAGAATATTATGTGCTGTTTCCAAGCCACAGAAGTTACTCTGAAAGATCATCACTGTAGATTTGCAATAAAACTTTCAGTGTGTAACAAGTGAAGGCCAACAGTTTTTCATGAATAAAGTTGATGCTGTAAGTGGTGAAATTGGTGGGTTTTGCATGGTAAATCAAACTTCAGTCTGTACTTTGAAAGAATGAAACTAAGTAAAAAGCAGGTAGGTATAAAAAGTGGTAGTTACCTTTTTACAGAGAGATTACGAAATAACTTTGTTGGTTCTTTGCTTGGCCTTAGTTCAGGTTAGTATCGATATCAAATCATTGAAAAAGTATGATGATGAGCATCTAGAAAGCAAACCAAATAGCGTACAAATTATCACCTATTGCAGGAATCACTTCACTGTGTGATTCAAAAAGCTGCTTAATTGAAATAAAGCATGTGAGACACTAGGAAAGGCAGAGAATAATTTTCTTAGTGGCTTGTATTGTTTACTACCTAATAGTATAATTATAGACTAGGATTGAAAATCAAAATCAGGCAGAATGGGAATAAACTGAAGTAAATTTATCAAAGCCTAATATCAGGAGATAGTCTTTAACATGCACTTATTACATGTACATAATTTTGGAGTGTGATTTGATATTAAAAGGGTAGTATTTTTGCTGTTGTTGTTCTGAATACCCTGGTTTTATTTAGAGGCTCTAGATAATTCATAATATAAATCCTACTTCCGCTCAAGCTTTTTGTGCACTTTCAATGGAAGCTCTTCATTGTAATAGGTTATTTATACTAAATGAAAAGGTAGTCCCTATTCCTGCTGTCTTAAGGGAACACTTGTTATTTGATCTCAAAATTAAACTTTGTGCTTTTTTGCTGAAGTATAGTTACGATGATGGAAAAGCTATGTGAGCTTTTCTGTTAACTCCTCAGTATCAGGAATGTAGCAGCAAAAATAATGTTTACAGAAATGAGTGAAAGGTTCAGCGCTGATTATATTTCAACAGGTCCATATAAGTGTGCAAATGCAATGTAGTAAAAAATTAGGAAAATGAGGATATTAAACAATAATTGCGAATGTTAACATAAGCTTACAGAATGTGAAAAACCATGATTACACTGAGGCAGAAAAGTCTGTCTCATTCAAAAAGAAAATGCAGAGTTGTTTTCTAGATTATGAAGATGCCTTCAAAGAGTACAGGGACAAAATGACAGGCTATCTTTCTATTTTGCTTGAGTTAAGGAGTTGTTTTGGGTTTTTTTTAAAAAAAAGATATATATTCAGATCCATTCATCCTCAGTGCTTGGGTATTCAGCACCTTGTTTAAAAGTTAGCAAAGAATTAGGTAACTTACTGTCATATTAAAATGCAAGGCATAAATTAATCCAGTATTTGTAACACTGCTCCTCATAATTTTGAATGACAGCTCTCTGCTGAAATTTTAGAAAACGGTGCTAGAGGTGAGTGAGGTGAATCAGGGAAGAGATCTTAATGTTGTGATGGTATTGAAGTACAGACTGCAGAATTGGTAGAATAATAGGATTATAAGAAAAAGCAACAGCTCAGAGATGATAGCAGTACTCATATGCCTGAGTCAGTCATCTTATCTGGCTTGCACAGATGTACTGGAGTGTACTCTGTAGGATTTCTTTCAGAGTTACAGGGATACAATGAGGAGTAAGAGTGAGAGAAAGGTATCTATAGCTGATATTAGCTCATTGGACAATGAACTGGCAGTTGTGCAGGCTGACAAAATATTTTGAAAGGCAAAGAGATAGTGGAAGATTAAAGTAATTTACTTGTGCTTTGGTTTACTTTTCCTTCCCCCAAACCAGTGTCTTCCTTTCCCATCAGCAATACATACAACTTTCACTTGTAAATCTGTCATGGATATCTAGGCCTGCTTAGATGTTGCTAGTCTTAACTGTGTAGCCAGTTAAGCTTGTCTTTTTAAGTGATTTTCCTTGCAGGAAAAAACACTGACTTCTCATTTGACAGAAGCATAAAAGCATAAGGGGAGAGTCCCATTCAAGTAAATCTTAGATACAGTCAAAGAGCAGATAAAGACAGAATGTCATATGTTGAGAATCTGGTATATAAAAGCTTTCTAATTGTGGAGTTTAGGTGTGTCTTAGTTATTACAGAGTTGTTTGGCTTGTGGCTGTAATGAAATGCCTTTAACTGTTTCTGTAAATTAAGGAAAAAAAATTCAAACTGAAGGCAACTGCAAGTTTACCTCTTCATATTTTATATTCTTTGTATGAAAAAGGTGGATATTCTCTGAAGGACAACTACCACAGCTGTACTTAGCTGTGCAATAGAAAATAAGGTAAAGAATTTGGGAGGGGGAATAAAGGCCTATTAAAAAGGAGGTAGGCAAAAATATGTATGCATGTATACACAGCTCTGTGTTTGTTTCTAAGGTTAAAAACATTAACTTTTGTAACCTTAGAGGAAAGTCACCACTGGAAAATGACCTAGAGTTATATCCAAGTGTAATTCATCTATTCAATAAAGACTGAGTTCAGTGAGCCATGGAAGTCTGCAATAGCCTTTGCTGCTTGGAGCTTGTTGTGCAGAATTTTTGCTGAATAGTCTTCCAAGTACATACTATGTTGTTTTTCTTACAGTTCAGCTGATTGAACAAGAATATTGTGCTTATTTGGTTAATTAGTCTTATGTAAATATATTTTCATAAAATAATATAATTATTTATAAACTTTTTGTAACCCTTTAAAAACTACTAACATAACTTCTGTTTTATTTTTGTAATTTAGTTGATGTTTTTTGGAATCTTCTCATGCCTGGATGCTTTTCTGTATGTATTCACCCTGCTTCCTCTGAGAGTTTTTCTGGCAATGTTCCGGTTCATCACTTTGCCTTGCTATGGCTTACGGTAAGTTGATTGAAGAGAAAGGTGTTGATACGCTTAAGTAACATTTCTCTATTTATGTGTGTGTGTGATTTTATGGCCTCTTGGTGCCATTTGAACTACTAATGACTTCTTTCACTGTAAAATTGAAGTTTTGGTCTAAACTAGTCAAAGCAAAGGTGTGTGTGGGACTTTTAAGCTTTGCCACCAGTCGCTAACTGTCATCATTGTTTCCTTCAGACACAGCAGTTTGATAACAGCACCACTTAGGCATAATCAGGTTAGTAAAGGACAGAGATGTAGTTTTGTTCTTTTAAGTAACATCTATTTGAACAGTGTTTTAAGATTTTAGACTGAGTTAATGACTTGCCTCATGTCTTTTGAGACTCTTTGATATTGAAACAAAAGTTTGATTGTTTTTTTACAACAAAATTTTTCCTTATTTCCGTGGTGAACTTTGCCCAAAGGATCTCTGTATAAAATGTGTTATTTTCTTTCCTTCAAAGAATCTTAGAGTTATTGAATATTAAGACATTTTAGATCTTAACCCCCTTGCTTTTATATTCAGATCAATACTAAGAAGAAGTTGCTAATACATAGGATCTTTGGTTTGCCTTTCTGGCATAGACATCAAAAACTGAATAGAATTAATTTCCTTCGTAAAAGTTGATGCTTCACAGTAAAGCTGATTGTGAAAGCCTTAACTGTAGCCTATAAAAAAAAAGGAGTATTTGTATTGATGTTGTAATTTTTCATTGAATAAATCTTCACGGTTTTCATTATGGATTTCCCCAAATGAAGTTGATTTATGGTAGCTGACTTCTTTTGAGTTGCTTGCATTTGCCTTATTCACAACCTTTATATGTGAAGTGCTTTTAGATGCATAGTTTGGAATGTATGTTCTGATGAGAGCAAATGCTAGTCTAGTTGCATAAGAAATACAATATTTTGAAGTATAGTCTTTAAGTTGAAATGTTTCTTTTTTGATGCTTAACATAGGCACTAGGTGGCAGTCTTTAATATTTTATTGCGCTGTTAATTTTGAGCTGAATCTCAGACTTCGATTATGTTGATAGTTTTCCTAGCTGTGTAAAAACTATGACATCTATTTAGTTTTAGCCTGATAACAAGTCAAATTATGTGCCTATTTGTAAATATCTGTGCAGATGCTGTTGCTAAAATATTAAAATTCAAGTAAATGTAATGGCTTTTAGCCTATCATTTGGATCTTACTACTTTTTTCTGTTTAAAAGTGTTCTTCATTGTTTATAAACTCAGCTTTGCTTTTGACAAGTATTCTGCTCTTCTAAAATTACGATGAAAAATTTGAAAGACCATTGTCTGGTTTTGGGTATTGCTCAGTATACTGAGGAAAGTGACATTGTACCATATGCATTCACACGTGTATGTGTGTGCATATATATGTACACACACCTGCAATGTTAAAACTTGGTCTGCTTGCTTGACAGTATTTTACTGTGTGAGGCAGGGCAGGAATCCAGTTTAATGTATTCAACTTGGCCATGTTAACTTTAAAGTGTTATCAGGTAAGATGCAGTGAAACTGAGATTATCTTGATTGAAGAAAGGCTTTGTTTTTGTAACAACTCCTGAAGCAATTTCTTTTGTTACAGTTTCCTCAAATGTTTATGGAATTTATTTCCCTAGAAATCTCTTCATTTGTTCACTACTTGAGGCTTTGTCTAATTCATTAATGGTTTAAAGTCAGTGGCTTTTTACAGAAAGATTCACAATTTATAGTATGTAATGGAACTTTTTCACATGTAATGATTCCTATTTCCAAATATTCAGAGCCTGCACTTTGATTTTTTTGTTGTTGTTGTTGTTTTTCTAGTTACACTGATTTGATTTGTTATGGCAAAAAAAGATACACCATTTTCTTCTAGCTCAGGAAGTATTTTTTATGTATTTGTAACAAAATAGTGTTCAGTAGGTAAAACACATCTGTAATTACAAAAGGTACTTACAAAGCAGGTGGCTATTTACTTGGAGCTTGATCTTCCTCACAAATGTCAAGTAAGTGTTGAGACATAACTGGTTGTTATTTGAACCTGCCACATCATATTCCATTCTGTGTAGTAAATAAAAGTGCTCCTCCCTTCATCTTTTTTCTCAACATTTCAGTGAAGTGATTGAACAGTGAGTGTTCCCGTCTCCCTTGCAGTTTACTTTTCAGTTCGTTTATTTTCTCATAACTTTCTACTCTTATCAGTATAGAAAAAGATTATATTTACCCACTAGTACTTTAAAACAGTAAACCCACGTTCTGTGTAAGGTGAACTGATTCCTGTCTGTGATATTGTGTGCAATGCTTAAATGTAGAGGGAGTGCTTTATAGCCTCTTTCACATGTTTTAATATTCTATTTTACAGAGTTCTGAGAGGGAACAGAGAGTAATGTATCTTAAAGAAATTTGTTTCTTTTTTCTGCCTAGACAGTGTAAGTGCTTCAGTCTGACTGCTAAGTCGTCATTCTTCATCAAATGATCTTTCTTTTTGAGTAAATTTAGTTCTGTGTATTTGTCAGAGCTATATTAGTGTTAATGTAGCTATTTTAGAAAGACACTCTTAAAACTTCAGAAACTCCAATCAGAAGAATCCAAGATTCTGACATTAAGTAAACACATTAAGTAAACTAAACTGCTGGTTAAATTGCCGTGGTCAAACTGGCAGAGGTTGAATCATCAGATTGTGGTAGTTTTGGCAAGTGCCACTTCATTACTACTATGCTCTGTAAATAGCAGAATGCTCTTAAAAAAAAAATTAAGAAACACTTTACAGAATTAATTTAGATCTTGTGAGATTACAGAAAAATCAGCTCTGCTGTATTTTCTTCCAAGTCATGGAAAGCTTGGAAAGTCATAGAAAGAAGTTTCCTAAATGACTATTGTAAACTACTCTCATTTTATTAAAATAAAAGCACATACTTTGCTGGACCAACAAAACTAAGGTAGAGAGAAGTGGACCTGGTGGATTTGTCTTCAGAATTAGTCCTTGATGATAGGTTCCTAAAACTAATTACCTGTGGCTGAAAGGGTACGGTTTCCTTTTACAATTCAGACACTTTTTTTTATTAATACCTCAGACCTAGAGATTCTGGGCAGATTAATATCTCTGCTTGTTTTGAAACATTTTTATAGAACTAACTTTGTTTTTCTTGAAAATATGTTGCACACCAATAAAAGCTCTTGTGGAAATGTGGAAAAGCTCTTCTGTGTTATTTGAAAAACATCATGATACAAAAGCTAAAATGGTATGTTAGTGAAACTCTGATGGGACTCCCAATTTAATTACATTTAAAGGCATTTTATGTCTTGTCCACAGAGCAAGTAAGGACTTGTTATGGAAAGTGAGACTTTTTTTTTTTTCCTCCAAATTCTAGTTTTCTCAAGAAGATACAAAAGTAAATGATGAGTTTTCTTACATGTCAAGATAGTTTGACAAGATCTTTACATTTCTTCCATGTGTAAATAGATATAAATTATAAATATGTTCTGTGTTTTTCTTTTACTCTGCTCTCTTCTCCCTGAAATAAGTGAATTCAGGTCCTGTCAGCAATAACATCATTAACTTCAGCTGTATTGTATGTACCTCGTAAAATTCGCATTGCCCTCCAGTGAAATCATAGATTCATGATTTTCAGTAGAAAATAAATAGAGCAGCTTACTTCAAGAAAGAAACTGTAGAAAGAAAGCATCTCGGGAAAGAAAACCCAAACAAATCAAATAAATATGCTGGCATTCTTATTATGGACATTATGTTCATATTATCAGGTTATTAAATAAATTTGAACCTCTGTTGCCCATTTATTCCCAAATGTTTTTGGGTTTTTTTGGTTTTTTTTTTCGGAGGGCTGTAGCTGTTAAATACATAAACTTCCAATTGTCTGGTTAAGTTCATTGAGAAAGTAGTGCACCTGTCCACCAAAATGTGTGGCTTCCTACCAACCAAAAAAAAGGTAGATGCATTCAGTAGTTTCTTCAGTAAACTCTCAGATCAAGTACTCCTTTCTCCTTTCCATAACAGTGCATAGTGTAGCAACATTACAACCTTCTCTTTCTTTCTTTCTTGTAAATCAGACCGAAGGGAAGAGCACTTTCACTTCCTTTATAGGATGGAATGTGGTGTCACAGGGATTCCTCCTTGGTGAGTAAATCCTGATTTTTCTTTTTTCCTTCTATGCTGTCAGCCAAATTCACACATCTACATGTAATCAGTAAAAAGACTGATTACAAATGAATAGTATAGCTAGATTAGTTAACATACTTCAAAGGAAATACCAACAGCTTCAATAACCAACACATGAAATTGATTCAATGCTCTTTATGGTAGGTATATTTTTATATGTAACTTTACATCACTATGGAAATAGGTTGTGATCTTAATAGATTTAAAACATTTTTTTGCATAGAGTGCCCGTACACCAGTTGAGCCCAATTTATAATAGGATATCTTGGAAAACCTATAGCCCCTGCTGTACTTAGTTTATAGTGCCTTAAGTTTTTTTCATTTATTCTAAGTAATGCTTCAGTCAGATTCATAGCTATATTTTTGTGTGTGCGTCAAGAAGGATTTTTGTAATGCTTAACATAATATTTGGGGAGTTCTGAAGGTTCATTGCCTGGTATCTTAGTATTAGACTTGAAGTTAATTCTCTGCATAATGCACTTCAGCATATGTTCATTTACTGACTTCAGTTACAATTGATTCTGTTATTTAAAAAAATAAACGCTTAATGAAATCTCATTCTAGTTGTCACTTATTTGAAACCTCATTTTTTTTTATTTATTTTGAGACAGCTGTCATCGGGGCATAACAGCAAGGTTGGTTTCGTTTCATTCTTAGCATGGTCTCGTGCTGTGTTGTGTGCATGTAGAGGCTTTTTGTTGTTTGAGAAATAAAATGCCATCTAATCTTGGCAAACTCCACTCTCTATCAGAAGTCTCCATTTGGGACATATTTTTATCAGCACTTAGTCTGTATATCTCACAATTTTACAACAGTTAAGTCCTGCATACTGTAAACTATCACTTTTTAGAGTTTCAAACTGGATATTAGGTTTGATCAAAATAACTTTTCTTCCTGAAGCCAAACTTAATTCCAAACTTGAGCATAACTGTAGGAAAATACTTCCTATAGATCACTTCGTGCATTTTGAAAATTCTTAGTGTGTAGCTATATGGGCAGGTATGCCCTTCAGACAAACTTGCTTTTTTTTTTTTTTCCTCTAACATGTTTACTTAGTATACTAATAGGAAAATATCCCCTTATGTGTTAATCTGATCATTCTTGTTAATGCTTTGTATAAGATTAGAAATTTATGCAACCACAGTTCATTTATGGCGGATACATTAAAGGATTAAGGCTTTCTTTGATCAAGACTAAATATCTGCATGTAAAACAAAACCCCACAGTTCTGTTTCCATACAGGTATCTGTGATGTAAAAATGGAGAAACAGGATACATCTAAACAAAACTTTAACTATGCCACCATTTCAATAGCTGAAATATATTAATTAATATAAACCTCAATGGTTGTCTAACTATTTCAAAGTGTTAATAATACTGAATAAATAATACAGTTGGAAAAGGTTCACTTTTACTTGCTCAAACTTGTAACCTCAGTGCTAAAACACTTCTCCAGTGCATTATTAGCCAAACAATAAAGCTATGTAGATGAAAAGGTTTTTTAATAGTGTGAACTACAGTACCATTTATAGAACTAATACTGTTATCTTAAGGGTTTATAAATGTATATGTTTTCAGGTGATTAAGTTCAGTATTTTATTAAGATTAAAATGTTCATCTAAAGCATTATTGCAATGACAATGTATTCACATATTTAAATTACTGTATGACATCAATATTGGAAATTTTGTCTGTGCTTACTGTGAAGGAGTAATTGTTTCGAGTAATTGAATTATTTGAGTAAGACTATATTAGGAGCCAGCTAAAAATGCAATAAACTGAAATTAAACAAGAAAAATTTATTGAATTACTGTTGACTTTTTTAAAAAACAACCAAAAAACCCAAATACAAAAAGCCCCAACAATCAAAACCCAAACAACTGTACAAGGTGGCTGGAAAACCATATGTAATCAGACTAATGAAGAATTGAGGAGCATGAGAAAACCTGAAAGACAGAAGTAAAGAAGCTGTGTGATAGCATATGGCAGTCAGTGCAGAGTTGAGTTTAAAATAATATATGCAGAGTGCTTATGCATTGGATGTTAAGTAATTAAGTACTCAGACAAGTATACTTGTCCACAGGTTACTTTGTACATGATATAGTGAAAATGTTCATTTTTCAGTGACAGTTGCTAGAGTGTACCATAGACAACTATAGTGAGATTTTTAGACTTATTTTATAGTAAGAACAAAGTCCTGTTTCTCCTGGAGTGCATTTTATGTTCCAAATGATTTAACCACTTTAGATTCAATAAACAATGCTTATTAAAACACGTAACACCATATGTTGTTTTTTTGGTAAGTCAGTCACTTAAGCAAACATGTGTTAGCTACTTGTGATTTGTAACATATTAAAGCCAAATATCAGTAAACTGTTATTTGTGTTTAATAATACTCAACTGCTAAATAACTTTAATTTTACAGCTGTTGAAACAAAAACAGGATTGGTGGGGTAGAAGCTAGTACACTGAAAGCCTTGAGCTGTTCTGCTTATTTAATAACTTGGAGGAAAAATACTGTGAAATCCAACATGATGTTCAGTTGAAATAGTTCCAAACTTTAAATACCAGTAGCATGACCATTTGTATGGTCATAGCCCTTAGGAGTGATTTAACCTAATGTTTTTCAACCAGTAGATGGAGACAGAACTCTTTATTTCTATATGAAATGTGGCTCATGACTTTTCAATTATGGTCTGATAGACATACCTTGAAAATGACACTCAGGTAACTAGTTCCTTAAAAGTTTCACTTGTCTGAGGAGATTGATTATGATGAACGCTGTTTTTCACAGCAAATTGTTTTTTACTGGGTAGCTGGTTTATGTATATCTTGAAAAAAGTTTGACTCTTAATTTTGTAACACTTAGAGTGGATCCTCTTACAAAAGTAATCATGAAAAAAACATATTTTTGTTGCTGTTGTTCCTAAAATTATAGAACAAATTTCTGTGTAGCCAGAGTATTTGGTAGTTTTCTAATTTGATGGTATTTTAATTTTATAGAATACCAAACTAATTCTTCCCAACTCTTTATAAGGGAACTTGCTTTAATTTAGCTTTCTAAAGGGGGAGGACATAAACAGATCCAATAGTTTTCTGAACAGAGGAAAGACTTGGATTTACACTTCCTAAATGCGTCTCAAGGTAGATAAACAATAAACTGGAAAGCCTGAAGCATGAGTATTAAACCTTGAGCTTATGTGCTTTGTTGAAAAAAAGTAATTTTTTTTCTGTAACAGACTGGATTTCTGTGTTCCTAGTTCTTGGTTGATGTCAGTCAGCGCACTGTATAAATTTTGCCAGTTTCACTTTCAAGTGGCTGAAACACTGTGGTAAGCAGTGAGCTTGGCATGCTTCTTTTATTAATTGACTGGGCTGAAATGGAAGCATGCTGTGACAGAGTAGGGAGGTATAGTATTAAGGCTTGCACATCAGTTTCTTATATTAAAATGAATAATAAGCTTGTATATCCCCTTAAGCATGCATTTGTATAATTGTATTATTTGGAGGCATAAGGGTTTGTTTTAGTGGAGATTTTCTGTCAGGTAGTAGATGTAATGGTAAGTGTACCCAAAGGCTGAGGAGTTTGAACATCTTGTTAAGTACATGCTGTACAATATTGAAGTCCCCATGTGTGTTTTTTCTGTGTTACCTTAATTTGCTTGTTACTGTTACAGTGTGAGAGAGCTGTGAGAGTATTTATCAGTAGAGGAATGCTTGGATTTTTAGCTCTTTAATCATGCAGGTTGAAGGATCATGTCATGTTTAATCAGCTCTGTGTATTTAGCGCTACTAATAGTAAAGCGGTACAAGATTTAATGTAGTGGATAATAGAAGAATGGATAAGCCTTACTCTTTACTATTAAGGTACTTTGAAGAAGTTTAATTTAAAAATTTGATTCCTTGGTAGTCTAGTCTTTACAGCTAAATGTGGGAACTTGAGGCTTAGCCTAATGAAACCACTTGTAAAATTCTGTAAAGAGCATCTTGGAGACCATGACCTCTAGCAAAAATGTTCTGAAGTAATAATGGAATAATGGCAGAAAATAATTAGGTGAAAAGATAGAAATTGTGTATCTTAAGGTGCATTTGAAGGACAGTGCAAATGCCCTGAATCCACATATTTACTGGTTTATGAGATGTGAAAGTTGTAATCTAAATTATATTTAGCTTTGTAATCAGCCAAATTGTGAAACAATTCATATAAGATTATTTCTAGAATCCAGTAGGATATTAGAGGAACTGCATCTCGGACAAAGGCTCTTTTAAGAGCAGAGTTTACTAAGGCTGGGAGAATGTTAATAATTTATTTACTTCTGCAGCATCACTGTATGTGTTGGATAGCTTTGAAGGAAAAGACCAACTCATTTCTATAGAAAAATTCTACATTTTGCTGTTTTATAACTGGAATTATTAAATATAAAGTAAGATAGTTATGCTCTTTATTTAGTGTTCTCCTTTTCTCACACATGAAAAACACCTGTAACATTTTCATGTGAAATCTTTTTCTCGTATTGTGTCACACTTCGTGCACAACTGTAAAAAATGCAATGTCTTTTGAAACGAGCTAAGCTGTTTCAACTTCTCAAATATCTGTTGAATGGTTTCTAAAATTGTACAGTAGCTCAGTATTGTCTAGTTCTTACTTCTTGACTCCCTCCTTTCAAATGAGATATTGAAAGTATTATCAGCACTATGCATCGTATTTCTTGTTTGTTTCTTGGCCTCTGTGTAGTTGTCATATCTTGGCTGATACCAGCTTTTTTATTTGGGGGTTGTGTGTGTTGAGATTTCTGTAGTATTCATGGTGTGGATGAATACATCATTATGAATTTGTATATGATATTAATCATATGATATTAAAAGGTCTCATTACTTCATGCTCAAGATTGTTCTGAAAGTACTTTCCAGTGTTAGCAATGAGTAGTTACTGGAGACAATAACTAGAAAAATATATATTGAGAAAAATGAATGCAGAAAATGTAATTTGTGCAGTGGGTAGGCTAAGACTTTTTATAACAGGCATAAAATCCCATCAGCCTGTGTGTTTATATGTGTTAAGCAGTTTAACGCAAAGGATAGGAATGATTTGTGACAAATACAGATTGAACCAATGTGAGCCTAATCATACACTAAAACTGCATCATTTCATAACTGCAGGCTTTGCAGTTAGTTCTATGTATTTGCCAAAAGGTGTCAAAACATTAGACTTAATCCATTTACTTGATTTCCTTGTCTTTGTGGGAAATAATTATCCCTTATCTCATATTAAATTCAGAGCCACACCTCAAAGTCCTTTTGTAAATATTATTAGCCAGAGTGGAAAAGGATTCTGCTGCAATAAAAGTGCTTTTGTGGATTTATGCAGTAGTCATGGTTAATGTGTCTCCATTGGAAACAATTTAATTGTAGACAATAGATTACTTGCCTCATCAGTGTGAAGGGACAGTCTTAGTGTACAATGAAAGAACATGGGAATGTATTTTAAATGCCAGGATCTTACTCTTTGCATTCTAGAAAGTAGTTTTCTGTACTCAGCCTTTGCAGTAATCTTTTGTACTGACTAGGATTTAGAGATGCTGACAGCTCTTCTGTCATCAAACCAAGTAAATTGAAATGGTAAGGATATTTTTGCAACTCCTTTTAAAGATGTGTTTTGAAGAAGTTGTCACAGCATTACTCTTGGTTCTGCTTCTCATGTGGATGAGAAGCACAAGTTATTGCACAGCTTTGAATAGAACATTAATAGAATGTAATTTTAGTTAAAACATCAGGGGAAAAAAAATGTTTACTGCAGTTTTTTATAGATCTCTATACTACTGAGAAACTAATTCCAAGTCGCTTTGAAAGGTAAAATTGTCTAAAACCACTATTTGAATGTACTCTGTTCTATGAAAGCTTAATTCCTGTAAGGCACGGCAAGCAAGTGTAGTTGACCTGACCCTTTTGGGCAGCGTCTGAATTGAACCACAGTGATACTCAATGTGTTCTATACGCATCACGTTCTCAAAATACCTTCGTCTTTCCAGTGTATAGGATTCTGTGTGAAAGTTTGGATGCACCTTCATATGGCATTGTTCTCCTGAGTTAGTTTTCAGAGTTGAGGGGACCTTTAGAAGAGCAATTTTACTCTTGTTTGTGCTTACTTTGTTCTTAAGAGTTTGTATTTCCCTGTGGTGGTTGCTATCTGCTTTTACCTCAGCTTCTCCTGAGTTGGTTTCACTCAGCTGAGTATAGTCATACTGATGAAAATCAACATAAGCAGAAGAGTGATGGGGTTAAAAGTACAGAATACCTGTGACTTGTGACTGTCCTGGTGGTTGAGCATCTTTGATGTTATTTGTAAGCCAGAAAACATTTAACATTATAATTTTCAGTCTGTATTGATTTGTGGACATCAGAGTATTTTCCTGTGAGAATCTTTCTGGACTGCTTCAGAAACTTCATAAATGGGTTTTGCTTACTAGTGTATTTCAACAAGAGACTATCCCAAATTTAAAACACAGTGGGTGTCTTGCTGTTCAGGTTTTCTCTACCATGTATTCACTACTTCTCTAGCGATAAGGTAGGTGTTGGCTGGAAGAATGAAGATGCTAATATTCTGAGCAACAAATTCTGATTCTCTCTTTCAAATGCTAAGACCTGGCATTACTGCTGTGGAGTAATAATACCTTTACTACTTTATTCCAATCTGTATTGCCAAGTATGAGCGTTGGCCTGGGGTCTCGTACTGAAGTATGAGTATGCTTCCAAAATTGAAGTAGGTTGGAGAAAAAGGAACATGCTGTGTTACTCAGTGTATGAATGGTAATCATAATCATATATATGCTAATATATTTAAATAAGTATAATAATTTAAGTCGTATGTAGTTAAATAGGGCAATAAACTTTCACAATACTATTTTTCAGGCTGAAGAGGTTGCAATTTTTATGTATCACACAAGAGCATAGCCATAGGTTCTTCAAGCAGCAGGCGAATACTGGATGTGCTGAAAATGGACATTTTTGGTTTTCTTCAAGTTTTAAATTGGTGTCTTCAGTTAAAACTCAAGGAGGGGGCCGGGGGGGCACAAAGAAAATTCACTGAGGCTTTTTGTCAAGGACTTGGTCTTAAATAAAATGTGGTGTGGTTACTCTTACTGGATGACTTCTGAGAGTAAGAAAATATCTCTTAGGGTGAGAAAGCCACTCTAAGCAATTCTGGTGTGCTGGATCAGGTTGAATTCTATAATTCAGAAAACAGATTATGCAGTAAAAAGTATATAACAAAAGGAGCAGTTGCTCTCTGTTCAAAGTGTAGTACTGTAAATGTGAGAGTTCTGGAAACTTCTGTGCTATACGCCCAGAATGAACATGATATATTTGCCCATTGTAGAATGATACTGTGTGGTTCCATGAGTGTTAAAATGCATGAATGCTGTCTTCAGGGCTTTTTTCTTTTGAATGGAAGACAACAAAGAAACCCGAAGTATAACACTGGCTCTGTATTTAAATAGAATGTGTCAGGTGGCTGGGATTTCTGACTTGTCTTGCAGGGTCTCTAGAATGTCTTGATTCCTAGAGGTCATAAGTAATTGTTCAGATGTTTTTTTAAAAATAGCATGAATTTTTTACCAACTTAAACTGATAACCTGTTTAGAAAAAAATTAATGGGACCATTGTCTAATCTCTGGATAATCTACTGATTTCAAGAATACAGAAAATGAAAATTCCTAACTTGCATTCTGCTAATTGGTTCTGACTTCTGTGAAACATTAACTTCTGCAAAAGCCTTTCAGTGTATATTAACAAGAAATACCTGTAATAGAAATTATTTCCCTATTTTTTTGTATTTAATTCTCCAATAAGCTTTTGACTGACTTTGAAGACTTTTTAAATGCTTTCCATCCTATTAATACTAAACTAAGTAAATAGACAAGTAAATACTGCCTTGCAAATTTGTTATGCTTAAGGCTGCTGTTGTGGCAATTGAGATAAAGCTACTTTCTTCCTGTGGTTTTAGTTTATAGGATGAAATTGTGTAATGATTCGTTTAGTCTTCTGGGTTAGTTATGGTACTACAGGTAGAAAACTTCTGCATTGGTTCAAGATCAACCTCAGGCTCTGATGTCAAATTTTTTGCACTTATTGCTGCAGAGTTTAGAGCTAAAAGAAGATATGGAATTGCATTTAGAACCTATTCCTTAGCATCTGGTTCATTATGGTGAAACTGGAGATGAATGCTTAATTTCCTTTTCTTTTGGTTATAGCATATATAATTTTTGTAACTGGGAAAGTCAAAATCATAAGTAGAATTGGCTGGAAGAGGGAAGGTAAATTAAAAGCCAAAGGATGTGCATGCAAAAGGTTCTTAGCAAGTGGGAGCTCTTACCCAAGAAATGTAGTATTTTAACCTAAATAGATGTGGCAGATAAGAGAATGTGGTCCTGTTCAGGAGTGTGATCTATTAATGTGTATTACTGTCATGTTGTTTCTTATGTGTTGGAGTGAGGGGCATGAGAAGGGGCAGTAATAAAATACATTAAATTACATCTTTGATTAACAGCTTCTATAAATTCCTATTGACTTGGTAACATTGGTATTTTGTGGATATATGACATTTAGTGGAACTTTTTGGCCTTTGTATTTCAGTGATAGACGTTTGCTACAACCTGCTCAGGTATGTGACGTTCTCAAAGGAGTTATATTGGTCATCTGCTACTTCATGATGCACTATGTTGACTACTCTATGATGTATCATCTGATAAGGGGACAGTCTGTCATAAAGCTCTACATCATCTATAATATGCTTGAGGTAAGAATGTTGGCATCAATATCGAGCATGCTTTTTTCAGACTGTCTAAAATATTGTATTACGGTATTTGTACTTAGAATATCTTGTGTTTTCATAAATGTGCACACACCCATATTAATAAACCTAGATGCAGTGAAACAGACAAGTTTGTGAAAAATAAGTTTTGTAGATACTGTTTCATATTGCTTAATTCCTGGATCTTATTAATCCAGTTGAATGAAAATTGAGAACTGGAAGTGGAAGATGGTGTGTCTTGAACTGAAATGCAAGAAGTGAAATGAAAGAGGTTTTGACCTTACTGACAAAAGTAGATACTATTGATTGGAAGTAGTGGTAAGATCGTGAGAGAGAGCAGAGAATGAAGATGGTAGAAGACATGGAATTTGTTTTTTAATTCTTCATTATGGAAGTATAGCTTTCATTTTATGCCAGGACAAATGTTACTCTCTGTCCTGGCTAGCATAAAAAAGTCTGAGTACATAAACAGTAAGTTGAATGAATACAGTGAAACAAGAAAAGGAAATTGTGGTTTGGTAGGTAAGGTAAAAGAGAAATTATGGGGAAAAAAATTGTTTCTTCATGAGACTTTTAATTGCAATTCTGTGATTGATGATTCACAATGTCAATGTTATAATAGATGCAGTCTTATCTCCATCCTGCAAATATAAGACATAGTAGGAATACAATCTCTTAGAATGACTCAGAGCTTTGTACACCAAAGTTACTCTACTAGGATTCTGTGATCACTGAATAACATGTTAATCCTTCCTTGAACATTTGTTATACCTTTGAGGACTCCTAAAATGGGGCTACACTTTGTGCAAAATCTGAATATTTTGTCTAAAGACATTTGCTCTTTCCTCATAAAATATGAAAATATTGCATAAGGATCACAATTTCAGACAGACCATCTCAGTTGTTTATGCACAGGGTTTTGTTTCCTTCTATTTTAGAGTTGCTGAAAAACATGTAGAAATATTAAATTGGCACTGAGTTACTATGTGGATTTCAGTTGTGTTGGGAAGTATTCATCCATATATAGTTCCATAATTTGTGAGAAATTATCACTTACTAAATAAATCCATGTGCTCAAAATAGTAATTTCTCTTTATTTCAAGACTACTTCAAGTCACTTCTCTTAAAGCTGAGAAAGCACAGCACTGTGTGCTTACCACATAAACTGAAGAGAGGCTGCAGTATTTGCTGTTTATTGGAAGCCATGTGCCATTCCATTTTGAATGAAGAGTTGAATTTCTTTGCTACATTTGGCAGAACCAAAAGTGTGTGTCTCAGCTAAGAAATGCTGCCCGAGTTTCCTTTTTTTAGGAAAGGGAAAAGTCTGCTACCACTCAGTAGTTATTCAAAATATTGCATTAGATTTTGAAGTTGAAAACAGTACTTAATTTCCATGGTGTCTTGTGAAACCCAACATGTCAAGTAGAGGGTGTATTTTTTAAGAGGCTTTTTTACTGCGATAGCTTGCAGCCACAGTATTGGCAGAAAATGTCCTGGAGTCCCACTGAAGGACTTGGTTGATAGGCAGCTTTCAACAGTTTGAATGCTGGCTTGCTTAAACTACTTCAGTGAATTTTGTTATAAGTCTTTGCTAATAGTGCAAGCAAAGTGTTTTGAGGAACTGTTAAATACACTTTCTTTAAAGTAGTAGACTTTACATTTTCACAAGTTTTCGAAATAGGAAGATCTTTTTAATTTAGTTAAATTACTGAACCACAGAGATGTTTACAATGTCCTAATGTTTTCGGCTGTTGACAAAGGGGCAGATATGAGGAATGCAAAATCTTCAAATTATGTGCTGAATGCCGCATATAACCTAAGGGGAGCATTCAGCACATGTGGCTTAAATGACACTTTTCTTTTTTTAGATTCAGACCCACCGGCTCCTGCTCCTTGTGAAGCCCCAGTGTGCGTTATGCTGGTGACAGCACTCACCATGGAATTCTGCTGGAGCCTGGAGCCGGCATGTAGGGTTTAGGTAAGTCATATTTGGAAAAACAAGCAACAATATTGTGTGGTGGGTTTTAATGTTTTCTGTCCTGTCAGCTAAGAAACAAGGACTGCTTAAAAAAAAGGAAGGTAAAACCACCATTTTATCTATTAAAACCCTCACAATATTGTGAACAAAAACTTACCAAACTCCGAGCATTCTGTAGTTGGTGTTACTGCACCAGGTGTAATTACTCAGTGGGTCATCACAATGAGCAGGAACCAAATAATGCAGACCAACTTAATTTATAAAATTTAAAAGCCGAAAACAATACCACTGTAAGTATCTCTCAAACTGATGGGTGTTTGAACTTCAGGTTTATAATAAATTGTCAGCTCATGGTTTTTATTTTATTTCATTTCATAGGGGATGCTTAGAGTAGCATGTAGTACAGTTTACTTGAGACATCCAGTGAAAAATTATTTTAATTCAGCCTTCATATTTTAGAAAACTTCAGTAAGTGTTGGCTTGATTAAGTTAAAGGACTTCTCTCCCTTCAATATCTTTACCTTTAAAACTCTTAATTAACAAAGTTGGGAAATGACACCAAATCTAGGTTTACTTATGTCATCCCAAGAACTTATTTTCTTGTTAATAGGTATGGTTCAGTATTTGCAGGTACATCATGCACTTAGTTCTATATTGCCTCGTGTTGCTTTAACATGTCCAAAATTGCAGTAAGAGGAAATACCAGTGGTCTTTATTAAGTAGAGATAATTTTTCATATTTAACTATTTCCATCTAATTTGAGTTAGTAAGCAATGAAATGTACCTCTTTTTTTCAGCCAGACACGTGCCTTCGGATACCAAAATAAATTTTTGAAGTGCTATTTTTGATGCTAGTTTTAAAAATACTGAACTGCATTGTATAGGCAGGAAAAAGTCTTTCCTTGTAATGCTCTTCAGTTTTACATGCTTGCTGATGATGAAGTGCTGGAGCTCCATGTAACCTTTCTTGCTGTGGTGTTGAATTACAAGCTCAGATTGCTGTTGATGTTCCTCCTCTTTTTGGAGGTTTTTTTTTACTTGTGCTATATTCTTTAGGTTACACTTCAGATCTTTGTAGGTTTTTCAAACTAATTTTCCCTAATTAATTTCCAAACTAATTATCAAAGTCTGAAGTTTGAACTGTGCTTGGATGTCTTTCAAGGAAGCATCTAAGATAACACTACATGTTTATATATTGTAAATACTGTTGAAAAGGGGATATGGTAAATTTGAGGGGGAAAGTCACTGCTGCATATACAAAAGGAACATCATCTCTTGCTCATTCCATTTCCAGTGATAGAGAGTGATAAATATGTGAAACATTTTTAGGTTGAGCTGTACTTATGGTGGCATATTCAAGTGTTGGAGAGAAATCATTGCTTTTAAGGAAGTAAAAAGTTCTTCCTGTTTAGGTGGCTGATCGTCTGTTGTCTTCATTTGGACAAGATATTTTGGATGCTCTTTATTGGACAGCTACAGAACCTAAGGAAAGAAAAAGAGCTCACATAGGTGTGATTCCACACTTCTTCATGGCAGTGCTCTATGTCTGTATCCTTTTTCTTCAATAAATTGCAAAATTTTCTAAAATAAATTACAGAGTAATTGCTCTGCATTAATTTATTTTAATATATTTGAAAAAATGATAGTATTCCTAAATTAGTGTTCCTTTACTTTCAGGTTACCAGTATTTTTAAATGAACGAAAAAACCTTTTAACCTGTTTCAAAAAAAAAACCCTTCATAATGGTATGCCACTGCAGTAGTAGACAGCTTTTTTAGTAACTGAAGTGTAGTAAAATGATAAACAGTAATTGGATGGTTCATGGAACCTTTGATTTCAGTTTTGTATTTGAGTATTTTGGGTCGTAGGGTCTTGAAGACAGTGGGGTTTTGTTATTTAGTGGAATGTTGCAAACATCTAGCTTGAGAACATTTTATTTAAATGAAGGGATAAATAATGAATATTTAGGATGCAGATGAGTTCAGTGTGAAGTAACCTTACTGTGAACTGGTAAAAATTATATGTAAAGAGACAGATGTGATGAATTTAGAATTCTTGTACTTACCCCAGTTTTCTCTGAAATCTTTAGTCTAATTCTGAATCTTTCTTTGTCTGAGAATTTTTTCCTTCAGGTTATATTGCTCTTTCTCATGACTAATATCACTGGGCTCTTTTAAAACAAGAAAAAATTAACATATATTAACAAAACACTGTGGGTACATTACATAGGGAAAGTAATGTCTTGCTGTAAATCCAGTTAACAGGGAGATAGAAACTTTGTTGCTAAATTTTGGAAACAAAATAGGAAGTTACAGTTTTGGTGCTGTTCAATACTGTTGTGCAGGGAAATTATTTCCAACTACACTTCCTTAACCCTGCTATCTAGTCGCGCATGCTATTTTTATAATGGTTCAAGCAACAACCCTTAATGTGGCCTTCAACTCCCACAATAAATCACTGCTTACCATCATGATGTCCAATAATGTAAGTATGTAGCTTTGTTATATAGCTATTTTTTTAGCATGCTTCATCTTTGTGAATCATGTCTATTTGCATATCGTTTGATTGTTTGATTTGTTTATATCAGGTTTTTATCAATAAAAATTAACTAACTGTTTTTAAAAATTGCAGTTTGTTGAAATAAAAGGAAGTGTTTTCAAGAAGTTTGAGAAGAACAACCTTTTTCAAATGTCAAATAGCGGTATGTATAGTTATGCTAATCAGGTAAAAATATGAATTGAGAAGCTGATTTTTTAATTTACTCATTTAATATTGTTAATTTAATATTTAATATTAAAACAGCTTTATGTTGGTGAATTTGAGCATTCTGACTTGAATTCCTCATTTCCTCTATTACTGTTTGGTTCAGTAGGACAAAATTGAAATTCCACTTCTAGGAACACTGTTTTTGCTTAAATGGCTGGTTTTCATTTGAGGTGCTAAAACAACATATTGGCTGTGTGCTAAAGTTATTATTAAATACAAGTTTAAGTTTTAAGTTATGGTATTCAAAATACCCATGCTTCAAAATGTCTGAAGTCGTCTGTTTCCAGAAAGTTGACTTTGTAGTGTGCTATGTTGACAGGGATATTGGAATGCATGTTATTTGGCAGTTGTGAGAATGAATCTTGAAATACCTTCCCCCTTACCAAAAAGAATGTAATGATGAAGTAGCTGGCTTGTGAAGGAAATGCCAGAGTTGACTAACTTTTGACATGCTATCAAGATAGTAGTAGAGGGTACTTAGCAAACATGTTATGCCTCTGGCACTTCTTAATTGTGTTGCTGCTTAGTATGAAATTTGGGAACTCTTACTCAGGATGTCTCCTGAGGAAAAGCTGTTACAGGTGTGCTTTGATGGAGGGTCTTTAATACTGGTATCTGCCATCTGAAATACTTGTTCAATTCTTGGTTTCAAAACTAATAGGAAAGATTACACTTTAAGGTTGTACTAGAGCCGCCTGTAATATCTTCTGATCTTAGCATATATTCCATTATTTTGTGCATATGACTTTTTTGGTCAAAGCTATTTATATAGATAAGCGACCAAAATAGAATATATTTTTTCATTCCAACTCCTAGTTTTTTAAACCAGAAAACTCAAGTGTTCAGTAGGTTAATGTACCTGCTTATTTGAAAACAAATGATTTGGATTTTTTTTATCAAGAGTTAAACTTTCAGTAGGCTTGCTTCAGGTTTTGAATTCTGGTTGTTGATGTGATTGGTTGGGGTTTTTTTTTGTTTTGTTTTTTTTTTCAAATTCATCTGCAAACTTCAATGATATTACATGCAAATGTTAAATGGCAATTGTTTTGTGATGCTTTGGATGAAAGACTATTTACATAAAATCTTAAAATATATCACATAACAGAAAAATTAGCACTACATTTTAATTACCTCATAGAAGATATTAAAAACCAAAAAAACTAATCTTCCCATCTGGGTTGATATTTATTCTGTGCTAATAGTATGTATTTTTGTTTCCAATATTTAAATACTTATATTTTAAAAATTAAGTTTATTTAACTTTACAGTGAGAACATCTAAAAATGATGTTTACTGAGATATTGATGGAAAACACAGATGAGTTTTCTTAAATTTTCTTTCATTAATCACAATACTCCCAGAAAATAGTTGTAAGTGTATACCTCACTTTTATACTGCAGGGCGAGGCCTCTTTCTTGATTTTAAGTCTTGAAATAAATGAGGGACTCTCTTAGAAATGGCTAGTAATTTCTTCCATAAAAAGCACCTGCAATAGTATGGTAGAATAAATGTATATCAATATTTTATTGCTAGACATTATTATTGAAGACCTGTAATAGCAATATCAGGTCTCTCTTTATCACTTGGTGGAAAAAGTGATGCCATTCATTATACCAGTATTCATTATACCAGAATGGAAGCAGGTGAGTACACACATAGAAGAGTGCACAAAACTCATTTATTCCCTTCAAACAGATAACTTTTGCTAGAACACCTCTCAGTATGGTTATAAACTGTAGTGTTTTTCTTCTCATAGATAAATAACGTAAACAGGTTTTTAGGAGAGATTTTCACCTCTTTTGAACTTGAACAGATTTACTGCATCACAGCTTCAGTAAGGATGGATCAGTTCTTCAGTTCATGTATTCTGATAACTTTGTTATCCTTTAAATGTTTTATTTCCTGTAGCTGAAATGGTAATGCATCTTGCATTGGCATGCTGTGTCAATGCTATATCCTACCCCTGGAACTAAGGCTAGTCTGGTCCTGTGGACTGAGCTTCCAATTAGCCTTTGGAGTGCCTTGTTGTAACCACATTGGAGAGCCCAGAGATTCGTAAAGGTTCTGTGGTCCCCTTGGGTTAGATTAAGATGAAATGAAACAAGCGACCAGTTAAAATGTTTTACTTGTGGTAGGAAACAATTTAAATTTGGAAAAGGATAATAAGTAATGGGGTCTTTTATAAATTATAAGGAAAGAAAAGGAAGAGAGAGGAAGAGAGTCAAAGAAATCTGGATCCCCACCCCAGATTCTAGTTTGTCTCAGGTCCAGTGATCTTGGGTGGTGGGTGCACACACAGCAAAGTGTTCTGTCACCTTTATAAATTCATCTTATCAGTTGATTACCATACTAGACAGAGGCAGGTATTGCATGAAGTCATTTCCATGAGAGACAGGGGGGTGGGGGAGGTGGAGCTTGGGTTCTGAGCATGTGTTGAGGGAGAACAGAGTGCACCAACCCACTTGTCCAGTTGAGTCTGTGGTTGTGCTCACCTCTTACCCATTTAGCAAGGTCTGCATGGTATCATGCTTACACAACAGAGCCACAAAGTATTTGGCTTACGCGATAGAGCCAGTGATCAGTGGTCCTTGTGCTTGCTAAGAAACATTTGTGTGGGCTACAAGGCTACAGTTCCCCCCTTTGAGACTTACCCAAGGAATCTGACAACGCAGCTGCAAGGTACCGGGGGACATGAATTCTTTGATACACTCTGCACTTCCATGGGCAGCATTCCTTCCACTAATCACAAAGGTCACAGCTTGTCCTTGAGTTTTTCTGTGTCAATGAATCTTTGAGGCATTAATTCTTTCAGTTCCTTACACTTGTGCATCCTAGAAAACAATGTGCTTAAACTTCATACCTGGAGTGAACTAAATTGCTAAAATAAAGCACTAAATATAGATTCCTCCATGTATTTCCCACTTTTCAGTTTGTTCCAGCTGTTTCTCAGGTCTGCAGTATCTGCTGTAAGGTAACATGGCAACAGTAACTGATTAAGCTTAGGTAGACTGAATGGATGCCCCATTGCCCCACGTTTTCTGGGGCTCTGCTCAAAATATTACTGTTGTCTCAAACGTGGTTTAAATTTTGTGAAAAGGTACTTATTAGTACACAGAAGTTAAATATACTAATTCTTGGGCGGAAGAAAATCAGGTCAATCTCATAGAGACATCTGAGGAACTTGTGAATAAGTAAAACTCCCTTATCTAACATATTAATCAAAAGAAAAATATGAACTGAAAAGTAATATAACAGTGACCTCAAGACTAGACATTGTGTTCAAGAGGAGTTGCTACAAATAGAATTCAAAAGCAAGTAATCTTGTGAATAGAAGCATGAAAATAGAAATGAACTGTTCCAGTTGTACTTCCTAAGACATGTCCGATATCATGTATTGAAGTACTTTGCAGAACTCTGCATGTTATTGGAGATGCTACATTGCAAGACACCAGGATATGAAGTGCCACTAAGCTACCAGTTTAGATCTGAGCATCGTGAAATCATTTTCATGTGGCACTGTGCTCAGCACTGGCTTGTGGATAGCAAGCCGATGTGTGGCTGTACTGTTTTTCCCAGTATTTCTGGTTCTGGGCTTCGGGTCAGTGGAGTCAGTGATCCTCCTCACCATTGTATAGCCATTTAAAATTCTGCTGTAACAGCTAATTCATTAAAACTTCAGGTCTAAAAGAACTGTGAATCATCTACATAAAAACTAATTGAACAGACCATGAGTTACACACTGATTACACGGTTACCTAATAAAACCAAACCTATTATCTTTTAGGTGTAGGAGGTCAACAGAGATCTTGGCATTTGTATAGCTGCTTGAGACTAGCTACAGAATCTGTGATTTCATCCATACAGGCTCCTGCAGCTTTGGTTTGTCATCTGCAGCAAAAATTACTTTTGCATTGTCACTCTGGCTTTTACTGGGAAACTTATGTACACCCAGGTAATCTAAACACTGTGGCCATTGGAAAAGACTTCTATACAGGAGACATAAAACTTCAGTGTAGCAGGAAGAAATACTCCCTAAATTTAAATAGTATATTCTCTTTTTCAAATAGATACCTGTAAGCTAATTTTTTAGGAGACCAAAATTCTAAAGAGAAGCTTTTCCGTCATTATTGAAAGCCCAGCATGCTGACTTCCTTTATACTTTTAAATGTCTTATTTTAATTTCCAGCTGTGCTCTAAACTAATTTTTTCACAAAATACAGTTGTACCTCATACATAGTATTACATTAGGTGCAGTGCATTATGTTATTTGCTGTTGGCTGTTTGGCCAGATTATTCCTTGTTTTTTAAACATCTCATCTCCAAATTTTAACATTTCTTGTGAAGCTTTAGGAATTTCAGGTTTTTTCTTTATCATTTCTTTTTTCCTTAATTCTTTCTGCTTTGTTCCCAGTTTATCAGTCTCTTTGGCTTTGATCAAAATATTGAACAGCCTTTATTTTTACCTTTGATACCTGGAATTGAGTCTGTTTTCTCGTGTGGGTTTAGGTTTTTAAATACCATTATTCTAATCCAGTTGTTCGAGTTAAGGATCAGGGATTTGGGGGTAAGAGTACATTTAAGGTTGGTGCCTCCCTGATGATTACTTGTTCAGTCTTTGATCCTTTCTTGTGCTTTGGGCACTTATTAAGAGGTAGTTGTCACCAGAGTTACTTAGAATCTGCTGAGATGTAACCAAAAAATGTTGTTCCACTTCTTACACACTATGGTTTATAACCAGCTTTTGATCTAAACATATAAACAGTATGATTACCATGGTCAGAATTATTTTTTACTTCCTGATTAAGGATGCCTGCATGATGTGTCAAAAATCTGGAAGGAAATAACTAGGTGTTCTAAAGAGTATTTTCTTCCCAGGAGAGTAGAAGTGCCACTTCTGGATCTCTTCTTGGGATCTCCCTGCCCTTCTTGTTAGTTACCACTGTGAAGTACCCAAGTTCTTCAGAGTTCAGGTCCTTCCTGAAGGAGTTTAGTAATCAATTTTTTGGGATATTGGCTAATTAATTACACTAGTCCGTACTGGATGTAGTGTTGTCCTAAGAACATCCTTTATTTCCAGTTATATGCATTTCTGTAGTATTTACAGGCTTTTTAAAAGTGATGATATCCTCTGACACATTAGCAATTAAACTTCAGGTCTCTGATACTGTCGGTCCTTTAAGCTGAGTGACTCCGTTTTCCAGAAGGATTTATAGAAGTTCAGAATGTGTTATTAATGTGGGCATAGAATTCAACTCAAAAGTGGAATAGCAGGGTAAGTGGGTAAGTGGGGTGAAAGTATTTAAAATCTGATTTGACTATGTGCAATCCTTTTTTGGGCTTTACTTCACAGAACCAACAGAGAAAAGTACATCTTGCTTTTTTCCCCTATTGCATTTATGGCAATATGCATGTTACTGGCTTTGAAATAAATGTTTGCCACCTCTATTCATATGACAACCTTAGTAGGCAGACATGATTTATCTTCATGGAGGAAGGTATATTGTGGTTAGATTTTGACACATGACCACCAAATTCTGATGTACTAAGTCTTGGAATGTCCGATTCTTCCTTTCCTTTTCCAATATACTGAAATAAATATTTTAAAGCAAACTGAAAAGAGTTAATCATATGTAGTCATCTGCACCACCAGCGGATGCATGGAAGTACAAGCAAATTCAATGTCATCTTTCAAAATAGTCTGAGTGTAAATGTGGGGAGTATATAGTATGATGTGCAGCTAGGCTTCAGGGCCAGCCCTATTAAGAGTAGAGATTAAACATGGTATTAGCATGAAGTCTATGTATGGTATGTGCTGACAAGAGACCAGTCGGGGTGATAAGTATATCTGAATTAGTGGTAGACGTCAGTTCTTTAACATTTAAGAGCATAAACTGAGAAAGTAAACTTCTTAATCATATGCTTCTGGAGGTAGCTGAAGACCATTTAAAATGGCTGCAGCCTGTTGTTTTGGTTGTTGTTTAACCCTGTCTTATAATGGAAAAGGGTTATTGTGGTGATTTGACCTTGGCTAAATGCCAGGTACCCACCAAGTCACTCTATCCTTCCCCCCTTTTCCCCTTGTTTTCTCAACTGGGCAAAGAGGGGAAAGAAAATAAAGATAGACCAACCCTTGTGGGTAAAACAAAAGCAGTTTTGATATAAGCCAAGTGAAGCAAAGGTCTGCACGTGGAAGAACAAAAAATACCCAACACAGATTTATTCTCTCCTTCCCATGAAGAGGTGCTGTCGGGCTTCTCGGGAGCAGGGCTCCCATATGTGTAGTGGTTGCCTTGGAGGACCGGGGTGACCTCACCCCCTTCCTCCTTTCTCCCAGCTTTACACTGAGCAGACGGGACATGGTCTGGAATATCCCTTTGGTCAGTTCAGGGCAGCTGTCCTGGTTGTGTCCCCTCCTAAGATCTTGCCCCCCCGTCCCACTGGGGGAAATGTCGGAAAGAGCCTTGGTGCTGTGTAAGCGATGCTCAGCAGTGGCCACAACACCAGGGTGCTGCCAACACCCTGCCAGCTCCCAGCATAAAACACAGCACCGTGAGGGCTGCTGTAGGGGAAAACCAGTTCCGACTCAGCCAGACCCAGTACAGTTATTAAAGCTGTACTGTATTCTAACTGAAAAATAGTTTGGGATATGTTTGTCACCAACATTTTGTGGGATATGTTCAAATGGCTTATATCAATGTTACTAAGGGTTGTCATGATGGAGGATGAAGAACAGAGATCCCTTTTACTTCCCACTTTGCTCTTTGTCATGCTAAAGCAGAATAGAGACCCTTCCTTTTGCCAGTACCTGCACTCTCTATAACTGAACACTAACACTGGTGGCTTGTCACTTCCCCCAGATTCACGAATACAGTAATTCATTTTCCCTTTATTCTTCAAGAGCATGTCTGTATGTGTGAATCTAGGGATGAAGCCTCACTTGTTCTATAGTTCACCACATCATCGAAGAACTCACAATACACAGTACAGGAAATTCTCCTCACCTATTTAAAAAAAAAAAGTACATGTACAACATCAAACAAATTCATAATAAATGATGAAACATTATTGGTGCATATTTTGTATTCTAAAATTTTAGTTGGGATTTAGGACTGATTAAAACTGGTTGGTTTGGATTTCTGAAGCCTTTTTTGTCCTTGTCCTTGCGGGTGGGAAATGAAATTAGTTTCTGAATCATTTGGGTTTACTGTTGAAGCTGCTGTAAAATGCCCTTTCTCCCTTGCTTGTGCCTCTGACAATCAGTTGATGAGAGAGACAAGGATGAAGCAGAGCAGCTTCACTCATTCCTCTTACTCCAAGCAGCCTTTAACAGCTGTGGCAGCAGAGATAACAGATTAGAAGGGAGGCCAGTGAGAATAGGAAAAATAAGCAGAGGGGAAAAATAGTGTCAGCATGTCAGCCTCTCATCCAGTCTCAGAAATGAGTGGGGGTTGAAATGTTTATTATTACAACATAAGAGGAAATTTAAGCCAAAGATGTCCCTTCTCAATTTAATCTTCTTGACTGGTGAGCTAATATATATTGAGTAGGTAATAAATGTCTGAAGGATTGGCTCGGGACATGCTTTAATGTTTCAGCCTAAATTAAGGTCCTTCCCACTTGAGAGTTTCTTTCCATACACGCCTTTCTGGGATCTGTGTGTTGTCTTACGCGGTGCTGATCAGTGATGAGTTGTGGAAGTATGCAACATGGGAAATACAAGATGAAACCTTTTTGAGATTTTGGGCAAAAGTCTGAAAACTCAGTGATTATTTTCAAGTCACTAATGGGTGTGATAGCGAATATAGATCAAGGAATGCTAGACTGAATATTAATCCACTGGTGATAGTTCCAAGTGATATCTCATAACTAGATTTATCAGAAAATATTGTATTCTGGTAATTCGGGCAGTATTTGGTGAATTCAGAAGCATAGAAGAACATACTTGACTTGTTGAAGTGTTACTGGCAGGAAACAAAAAAATTAGGTTAGGATTTCAACTATGTCCTGTTTTTTCTGATATTTAAATTTATTTTACTTAAGGATTTGTTTGTTTCTTCCCACATACATATGCTGTTGTCCTGTTTTGGAAATTTGTGCTTCCTCTGACCCTTCCCCAGACCTTACTGAGAGAAGAGTTTATGTATCCCAAAATGTGCTTTTTCACATGTGTTCATACAATCTCATTCTTCTTGAATTTTGTGTGCTTTTTGTTCCCCTCTCTTGGAGGAGTTGGTCTTTTCTTTTAGCTCCCTTCCTTCAGGCTTGCCAATATTTTGAAACTTTATTTTTAAATGAGGTATAGAGAATAATACTAGAATGTCGTAACTGCAGCCGTGAACATTGTCTTTGGTCTGTAGTCAGTTAAGAGATGATGGAAGCTGCTGACACAGTCAGAGCCAAATATTTTTGGCCAGCTCAATGCTTGGGTGTTCATCTGAACATTTCTATGTTCAGTAGCTAGAATCCCACCAAATATTTGATGTGCTTAAGGAAATTAACCCATTGGATTTGGTATTTACTTACCCACAAAGAAAATGGTCATGGTTATTAACAGTTGTAACAGGCAATAACAGTATCTTCACAGATTTTCCTAATACTTATGTCTTCTAAAAAAACTTCTTCAGGCTTGCAAATTAGTGGTGACATTACATTTTAGGTTTTACTGCACTTTTCAATAATACAATTTCAGGGAGGTTTTTTTTAATATGCTAAAAATTGTGATGCTTCCTGAAGCAAGCTGTATGTGTCTTTTCTGGAGATAGGAACATCAAACTAGAAAAAAAGGCTCTGCCTGGTCAGGGAGGACAAGTCATAGGACTCCATCTCAAGTTGGACTGCTTTTGTGTTAGAGTTCTTACAGTTTTGATAACAGAGCTGATGTATCCTGCTGTTTGCTTTTAAGGTGGCAATGAAAGACTAGTAGGAACCTTCTAAATAAGGTGTAATAGTTGTCTTGAAACACTTTTCTTTTTTCCCCTACTATTGGACCCAGTATATACCAATTTGGGTATCTGATCTGTAGAAAATAAAATTTGCCTTGCTAATAACTTGAAATGACAAACAGGTGTATTGTCTTTATTTTTGCACCAGAAGATGATGATTCTTTTTGAATCCCACAAGAAATGCACAAACTTTATCCAGAAAGATGACTTTATTAAAGTATTAGAAATGGTGACAGGAAGTCATAACTTAAGTCCATTCTGATGCTGGGAACCCCAAGTTGCAGCATTGGATAGACCTGCAGTTAGGCCACAGCACAGTGCAGAGATTCTGTCCACAGTGATACCCAGCATCTCTTCCTCTAAAATCTGTCAAATAATTTGTGGAAAAGATTGTCTAATCCAAGACTTAACAAATCATAGAACCTCAGAATGAGTAGATACCTATGTATACAAATAAATGTTTCTTTGGAGTTGATGACTTTTTTTTTTTAACTAGATATAAAGGAGAGGTTCACCAATTACGTGCTGCTACTAATTGTGTGTCTAAGAAATATGGAACAGTTCTCATGGAATCCAGGTGAGTAAACTAGTAAAAAGTTAAATGACAGATTTCTGTGCTGACAACTGTATCTCTTGCTTTTTCCCTTGATCTGAAAGATAAGGGTAACCAGGACATTTAATTGAGGAATCTTAATTTGTCAAGTACCTGAGATTCTTGGTTTTCAATTTCAGGCTTTTTTGTATGAGTGGCTCTATCTTTTCTGCTATAAGTATATGTTATAATGCTACTAACGTGCATTTATGTTTCGAGTAGTGTCTTCTCAGCCCTTTTCTTTCCTTGGAGTACACTGAGGATGAAGGATCCCCTAGAGAATTTTATTTTGTGAGGCTAGTAAGATTGAAGTTTGACAGAAGTTTTAAGTGAAAATTTCCATTCAAAATTTAATAGTGATTATGATTAGGATTTTAATACCATATTGAATAAATATTGAGTAAAATTTGGATTTTACTTTATTAAAACTTCATTTTAATGATTTTGAGCCCTGACCTGTGTGGTGTATTTTACTTCAGTATTACCAGTCTACCTGAATTTTACCTTAAGCATCTAAAATCGCAGGAGCTCTGTCTATTCCTCATACACACTGAACACCTATATAATATGTGCAAAGATTATCCTCCTTGTAGAAATAAAGTTTTACAAAGTAAAGGCTTTGGAACCCTGTGGTGTGATTGTGTAATACAGCAATGGACTAAGCAAGGACTTGCACAGTACATGCTGAATGGTGATGGAGAGTCACAGACTTCAGACTCTTGAAAATTTTTTACTGTTGAGTAAAAGTGTTTTAATTTTTGGTTTGTATACTGGCATCAAATTAATCGGCCTAACTTGTTTCTTCCCAACCTTTAGATCATCTTTGGGTGTTGTTCCCAGATGTTTGTATGGTGGTTGCTTCAGAAATTGTGGTGGATATTGTGAAACATGCCTTTATAACAAAATTCAATGACATCACAGCAGATGTAGGTATCCTGTTTGGAATTCTGAGTGCTATTTTAAGTTGCTGTTTATTTTGTTCATATTTTTTTAAATATTAAAATTGGTTCCAGCGCAGAAAATCTGAAAATTGTTATTTTCATAAATAGGGTATCATTTGGGAAAGTTTGGTAGTTTTCTGGTACCATATGCTTCTGAGGGTCTTTATAAAGTGTAACAAACACCTCTGCTTCCAAATAGATGGTTCCAGATCCATAAATTACTGAAAGTTTTGTGTAACAGTTCACGTAATAACTACAGTTTGCATAACTGGCAGATCACTGGTTAAATTGACAGGTTACTACTTCTGCAGTCTAGACAGAGCTTGTACTTTTTTCTAACAGAATGGATTGTAGGTTAAAATTCAGACTTTAGGAAAAATAGATGGAATCTGAAATCAGAGATATATTTTTCCACTGTCCCTGGAGCAGTAATTTGAAGTAGTTTCTCACTCCTGAAATTTCTTAGGCTATATATAGTATGCAGTCCTTTTAAAGTAGTAGATGAGATTACTTTTTGTGTGTTGCAGCATATGTTGGCCATTTGTCTTGCATGTTGTGTGAATTCAAATACCCTTGATATGTTTGTGAGAGATAAATTAGCATTTTTTGCACTATTAAAACCACATTTCAGGAAACGAGATCAGAACTTGGAAGTGCTATCTTTTTCTAAAGTACCTACGGTTTACGATATAGAAACAAGTCTAATAGGTGTAATTAATAAATTCCTTTATGCTGGAGGCATTTATGCATGCCCTACATTCATATAGAGAGCATGGAAAAGAGCCATGATGAAGTCATGCTAGCCAAAACTGTAGCATGCTTCAGTGTGCTGAAACAGTGGAGGATAGGGGTAGTGAGTGACAATTCTGCAAGGTTCATTTAACAAACTTTGTATTTTTTGTATGAAGTTCTGAAGATTTATTGTTTCTAGGTCATGCTTTTTTCAGAAGTTTTGAACACCTGCAGTGCAAGTTGCCCTGCCACTTTTCCTTAAAATAGATGCTTTTCTGTCTTAATATGCAGAACTGTTTTGAAGAGAAAAAAGCTTCATTCATCTTGTAATACAATTTGCTTTTTTCATGAGATCACTTGCTTGTTATAAAAATAAGCTCTCATTTGTTTAATTTGATCCCAGTGCTACCTTTCATGTAGCTTAAAGCAAATTATGAACTGTAGGAACAAAGTAAACATGATTTCTTTCACTTCGTGTTTCTGATGATCTTCAAATTCAGTAAATGCTTTAAAAAGTCTCATTCAATTCCTAAAACATAGCATAGTGTAGTTTGTTTTATATATATATATATATATATATATATATATATGCAAGTTACTTTATATAGGCTCATCTATTGAAGGGTGCAATTAAACCTCAGAAAAACTGACTTTGACTACATCAGTTTGTGTATGTGTGTATAATATTTTTACAGAAATATTTTATTAATATCTCTGCTTCTATAAAATGTGATAGCAAATTATTCACACATTCAATGTGCTGGATTTTTTCCAGGTCTACAGTGAATACAGAGCCAGTCTTGCATTTGACCTTGTTAGCAGTCGACAGAAAAATGTAAGCCTGAAAATAAAGGTGTTTTCTTGTGTTAAATAACATAATTGTTACTGAAGGGCAGGGGTTATTGAAACAAATAAAGAAATACATACAGAACTGTTACAGTCCTACAGCACTGATTTTTCTCTGCTTTTTTAATGAGAGATAACAGGAATATTTCCTTGTGATTTATATTCTTGTTTTTATCCAGTTGTTGAGGTCAGTTTGGGCTTTATTACATAGTTGAGAAATCTCTTCCAAATGCACTTATAGTCAGGGGGCAGTTGTAACGATTTTGACATTTTTGAGATATATAGGAAGTAAGCTTAGCAAGATGTTCTTGAGATAATTTATAATTACTGTTCTTTTGGGTTTGTTTTAACTGTGTTGAATCAAAATACAGTATTAATTAAGAGTTTATATTACTTCTTCACAGCATGTACAGATATATAGTGATGTTTGTGTCATGCATGTTACTGTTGTGGCATGGGTATTTACAGAACACACAGACTGTATTTCATTAGTATTGGTTTCGGAAGACAATTTACAGTACACGTTTCCTGGATGAGTCTCTTAACTGTTACTCAGTGCTCTGAATGAGTGCTCTAACTATTAAATGAAACCTACAATAATAATAATTTATGTAGTTTTCTTGGGCATGTTTAAAAGCTATTGCTAGGAATGTGGTAGTTATACCTCGTAAAGAAGTTAAGACATCTTCAATTACAAATAATTATTAATAATTTGTTAATCAAAAAAACATCAGTTTGAAAAATCCATTAGTTTTTCCTAAGGCTCTTCTGTGGAAAATGAGGTAGCATCATATAGGTACTAATTTTGGCATGACGTTCCATATTGCATGAAAGCTGTCATGCAGAGTAGTTGTGTTTTGAGAGTTCAACTGTAAACAAACTTTCAAAGTTACTTTAACACAATTACTCTGGGGCTAATTATAGATGCTTGTAGAGTGATTTAAAATTGCTAGTGTGATGGATAATTGTTCTTTTATCCCTGTTATAGGTTTTTCTGTACAGTATTTCAGGATCAAAGTCAAATTAATACAAAAAGATCTCTAAGCTGGTAATAATGTACAGATGAAATATTATAGCGTGTTTGGATGCAGTGTCCTAATTGCTCTCGATTTAGAGATTTGTATTATACTCCAGTTGCTCTTGATTTAGAGCACTGAAGCTAATCTTACTGGTCATGGTAGTATTACATTTTTGTCTGAGAGCACAGCTATCTGCATATGAATTTCAGAATGTGAATAGGTCAATTATACCACTGTAGTGTGTGTTAGCAGAGATTGATTCTTATCTAGAGAGCGTGCCAAGCTAAAATAAGCACATTCCTTTGCATAAATAGTTCATTATTCTTCCTTTTTTTTTTTTTTCCTAGGCATATACAGATTATAGTGATTCAGTTTCCAGAAGAATGGGTTTCATTCCTCTTCCACTGGCTGTTTTAGTAAGTTGGATCTTTCCTACCAGTTTTCTATCAATAAGATCTCACTTTGAGAATATATACCTATGAGATAGCTGGCTCATTTTGATGTTTTGAGGGTGAAATGATCACCTAAAGTAACTATAGTGATGCTGCAAGGTTAAGTTAGCATTCAGTATAACCTATATCACATACTAATTATGACTTCAAATGTGTTACTGTTTATCAGCCTTTCATAGAAAATTGAATATGTATTTTATAGATTTTATAAGCACTTGAATTGTAGCAGTGGAATTAAACTACATCTGTGCTTATTAAACATTTATTCCTTTTAGCAATAAGCCTGTTCATTCATTCGGAATAGTCAAAGCAGCTGGTTGCCAGAAGGTTAGCAGTAGTGTACTGTTTTTTGGGGGGTGGGGTTCATAGGAGTCCTTGTGGTTGTCCCTGTAATGGTAACGTGTACTAGGTTTTCTTTTATATGCAGCACTGAGCTTCTGAGCTGTTGTAGAGTATGTGATTCTGAAATAGTTGACCCTGTTAGATGGACATGCTGCTATAAAATGAATCACTTCATTATTGGAATTGTGTCCACATGCTGTCTGTTCTGAATTAACTATTGCAGAATGTTTTCTGTAAATAGGTTCTCTGACTTTCCCCATACACACATGTAGACAAGCAGCAGTTATCATCATACTGGGAATGTGGCCTTGCTTTGCCAGCAAAGATGCTAAGTCGTAATTTTCCTGGAAAAATATCAATATAAATTAACTTTCAAATATAACATTCTCCCATGAAGATGGGGAAAAATACTGTTGACAGACTTTGCCTAGTGTTTATCCAGGATTTATAAAAAACAACCCAACAAAAAACCAAAGCAACAGATCATAATCATGATTTATTTTATAACTAGGTAAAGTACATCCAGTGAGAATTTGATTGAAATGCTTTTTTTCAAGTTATGATATCCCAGCTATTAATAGATTTAAACCAAACTGAAGTGCTTTGCTAACTTGGAACCCTAACTGTGAAATACTGAAGTAAAATTTCAGTATTATTTATTACTGAAACTAGTGATTCACATGCCTAGTCCACAAAGCAATTTTGTATTCAAAATGTTAACATAGTACAAAACACTGATTCTGTTTTACTGCATCAGCATCTCTTGACATTTTCTTCAAAAAATAACTCAGCTTTCAGCCCTTGACTTCTGGGGACATTTTTTTCACTTGTTATTTTACTTGGAAGTCAGTGACAAAAGAACATTATCAGACTGTAGTTTTGGCAAAGTTGCAACTAGGTGCTAGTATATTCAAGCCAAAATCTCAAATAGCTAGTGCTGCCAAGGGGAACGTTAGAATAAATTTCTATTAATGTAAATGTTTCTGCTTTTGTCTTGAATTTACCAATTAAGAAATGCCTGTTAAAATATTATTAAGTGTGCTGTATGTTTTAACTGTTTAACTTTTTCCCTTAAAACAGCTCATCAGAGTTGTAACAAGCTCAATAAAAGTACAAGGAGTCTTGGCTTATGTTTGTGTTGTGCTGTTTTACTGTGGGTAAGTAAATGCATGCAACTGAAAAGTATTTACCATTATTTGACCAGATATGTGAAAAAAGCTTCTGTTGTATAAACACACAGTTTATATTCAGTAGAACATAAATGTAGATCACTTAATGCTCATAAACTGAGAGTGCAGATTGGTCCCTAAGTACTGTAACTGCATTGGGTGATTATAGCCCTTGATAAGTAACTTCGCTAATGAAAATAACTCATGGAAAAATGATTGAAAGAATTTGACAGACAAGCACCATACCACTGCATAAAAGGGGAAATTGAATTCCAAGGAATGAAACTTTCTGTGAAAAGAGTGAAAGATCCACCATGCCAACAAAAGTAAGCAGTTTAAGTGCTCTGAGCAGATCATTAATTTTTCTCTCTGGTAGTGAAATGCAAGGTTTCTTCATGTTAGGAAACTGCCATATAAAAAATAGTAAGTGCAAGGCTCACCTTTCTGAGAAGGCTGGGATCAGTAATTAATCTTAGTTAAGGAATATAATGTTCTATGGCAATTTGTTTTCCAAAAACAATGATTTGCAAATATCCCTTCACTGCTAAGTCAGTTTATACTTGTGTTATCCTTAACTTCTCACCAGCTGATACGTACTTCTGACATACATTTAGTTGCACTTTAAATCCTATCTAGCTTGCCTGTCTTGAGACACTTGCTGTAGACTATGTGGAGATGACCAGTTTGTAGGAAAGCTGCGTACTGAACTCTGTCAGCATTTGTTGTGTCTCAGTACTGATTAATATTGGAGTCGTCCTAAAAATGATCATAAAGTATTAAATGATTCACATTACTATAGGCAGGTTCTGTATGCTGCAACATAGTGGGAATATTTCTCCTAGTGCCCTACCAATATATGTTTACAACTGAAGGCAGTAAGACTTGGGAAGTAAAAGACTTCTAGGTCTGGGGCAGGTCTCAGAAGAGAGGAGGCTGCTGTTTTACAATACCTTATGAAAGAATGCTTTTACTACACATTTTTTTTATGAACAGTTAGACTCTTATCCCTAATCTGACCTTGATCTTCAAAAAGACTAGAACTTGCTCTGATGTGTCTAGTCCACTTCAGTGTAGAGACACATCTCTGGTGTCAGATAACTAGGACTGAGATACTGCATATAGGCCAAATTATTTTAATATTAGCCGTGTTCTTCTGCACCAATACTTTGATTTCTTCCCCAGCGTATGACATGCTGTGCCCATTATCCCTGAAGCCAGCTTTGTATAATTGAAAGCCCTAGCCCCTGATCATCACATTCAAGCTGTGGTATACCAAGCTCAGCACCTTCACTCTGCTCCGTGTTTTGCCTTTTCCTTTTTCCCAATATGTATATAATGTTTCCCTACACCTGCCATTTAACTACTGCAGCCCGCTCCTGGATTTTTCCCTGTCTCTGTGGCCTGGAGGATGGAGGGAAGGAAGAAGTAATGTGATTAACATGAAGGTTTACGTGCTGCTCTTTGAAGGCATAGGTCACAGTAGTAAATACATTTTGGTTTATTTGGTCCTGATTGAAAAGTGGGAACAAATTTTTACTTCTACCATGATCTCAGATGTGGAACTAACTCACCTCTTGTATCTTTTAAGTAATTTGTGTTCTGAACATAAATTTCAGCTTTTAATCAGATTAGTGTAGCACAGATATGTGAGAAACAATGTGATAAAATCTGAAGCAGTGAATGGGGCAAAGGATTGAGACTGTAATGTGGAGGATATTGTTTTGTATTTGATATTTAACAACTGTAGTACTGTAAGTTATACTATAAAAGAGTCTTGTCCAGCATATGAAACCTGAGTTTTCTTTTTCTAGGATTTTGAACAACTGCAAACTTAAATTGTTAGAAATTTGAGCCTGGGGTGGACTGGCAGAAGAGAATAAAGGAGAATCACTAGAAACTCTTGCATAATTTTGCATGAGAAGCTGGAACTGAAAGTGTTGATTTATGGCCTTTTCAACTTCTGATCTCATTAAATCAGAGTTGAATCATGCTGTAAATGCTCTCTCACAGCAAAAGCATGTTGCATAAAAAGTGTAAGAAAAATACCTCTAAAACTTATTAAAAATGGAGGTGAGCTTCTCAACTCTCAAACAAAATTTGTCCCGATAACCTAATAAAATTGTAGAGAATCATGGCTTTCAACTTGTTTAAAATGATAACTTCTGTTGTGGCTTGGATACCAAAATGTCAGTTTCTTCTGAGTATTGAAAGTGGTCTGCTCTGCTCATTCTTCCATCCCTTAAAATTTCTTCTACAAGTAAATGTATGGTATAAAATTCCCTTAAAAGTTTGTTTTTCTGTTTGGCAAGTTCTGATTATGTTAATGCAAGTGAGAGACAGTGAAGCTGCTGCTGTGGTCTTCTTTGGTCACTTTATGATTAAGCAGTTAGACCCACTCCGTGGATCTGTGAATGTTCACTTCAGCTGTTCTTAGTCTGTTACTGATGTACATAATAAACAGATTTTCAAAGAATAGAGAATGAATTCAGAGTCTGCATTTGATTGACTTTAGTTACATAGATTGATTTGTGTAGAGCATATTTATGTCCTTCCTGTTCTTCAAATAAGACAGATATTAAAGGGATATAAAGATTTGCTGAAGTTTGTGCTGCAAATTAGTGATAATAGAAAAAGAATCTGCTATGATGGTAATGCAGTGCTGCCTCTCTGGTTTTGTTGATGGACTGTCTAGTGATGTGAAAAAGGACTTTTTATGATTAGCCTGTAATTTGTGATAGCCAGCTACTTGCTTTCTTGTGGTTCAAAGTCCAATAGGGATCCTTGCCTGGGCACACTTAGGGTTAGAGTTTAACTGTAGTGCATTTAATTTCGACTTGCACTGTTGAGGGCCCTTTATAGGCCCGTGTTTAAATATTTGATGTATTAAATGGCTGCTTAACTGTCCTTGTAGTCCTTTCATTAAGTTGTGATAAAATTTGATGGTTTTCTCTAGATGTCTTCTGAAAATAAATAAATAAATAAATTTAAGGATTGACTCTGAAACAAATTGTTAGGAAAAGGAAAGTATCATTTGATCTAGCTATTGAAGAGGTTTCATTTGTTAGCTAATCCTTCCAAGATATCAATATGCAATTACTTTAATATGAATAATAGGCAATTATTTTAATATGCTAATGCAAACATGTAAACAGATCCTTTTTTTTTTTTTCAGGTTAATGTCTCTAAAAGTCCTTAACAGTATTGTGTTGCTGGGGAAATCATGTCAATATGTAAAGGAGGCAAAAATGGAGGAGAAATTATTCAATCCTGTCCTGACTGCCACCCCAGGGAAGCCAGCTGGCAAACAGCAAAGCATGTTTAAATCTACTCAAGGTAAGGTTAACTGCCTTGTTTTGTTTTCGACTGTAATGAAAATTGCTGTTAGACGAAATTTAATATTGTTTGCTGCACTGTCACCTTGTTGCTGGACCTTAATTGTACTGTATCACATCTGTGAACATGAAACAAAGAAATTGACTCAACAGTAAAGTTTTTTTTACTGTTAAGCAGGTATTTTCTATTAGCTGCACTGGGGTTGCCCTGGGGATTCTCCAGAATGAGGGTTCGCAAGAATTAGCAAGGGATATCAGTTTACATACAAATTACACATATTCATTAGATTTCCTGGAAAGGGGTGTCTTATGATAATGAGTTTCTGGAATTCATTTACATAGTCCGAGTAAAAATACATTGGATAGTAAAAATAGTGAGGGTCTTCAGAGGTCAAGGAAAGAAGTAAGTAGTCTTCTTCATGGTGTTTGCTAATTGATCTTCTTTCCAAAGCATGTCCTGTGATGTAAAGTCCAGGTGCCTTCCTAAATCAGCAAATTCATCCTCCCTATAATAGGATCTCTGTGTCCTTTTGTTCAAGTCCCCCTTATCTTAGTTTGCCCATTCTAGGAGTTGCCCAAGTGTCCATTGAAGGCCTTGAGTCTCTGCTATCAGTGATTTACGTAGGGAGGGTTTTAATCTTGTCTAAACAGACAAAGAGGCCTAGGGAAATAGTTAAGCAGTCAGGAGTCCTTTGGAAAGAAACAAAGCAAAATGCAAGCTAAGCTTTGAAACAAACAAAGCAAAACACTAGCAAAGCTTTCATGCATCAGTTTAGTTTTAATAATTGTCAGAAATTCATTTGAGCCCTTTCAAACAATGAAATAGAATGGATTGCTTTTAGTTCATGTATCTTGGTTATAAATACTCATCTCTGATAAGATCCCACCCTGATACGCAGAGGTGATAGAAACATCAGAACAGTAGCATGCTTTAGTTTGAAAATCGTAACCAGAGAATGAATGGTTTAGGTTGGAAGGGGCCTTTAAAGACCATCTAGTCCAACCTCATCTGTCATGTCACTATACAAATAAGTAAATATTTACACAGCATCTCTGGCAGTGCTGGAGTTTAATAGGGAAGCAATCTATGCATTTCATATGGAAATTAATGTAAAACATGACCCACAATAGGTATAATTACTTGTAGTTGTCATGAACACATAAATGAAAAGCTTTATGAAATCCAAATAGGAATTTCAGCTGGTCTCACTTCATTTCAAGTCTGTGCAGCGTGGTTTTCTCGTACAGGTCCTCAGCATTAGTGGCTAATATATAATTAGAATGGGGCATTATTATATTCCTGTGGCACATTATAGAAGGAAACAGAAACCTTCATTGTTCCACTCAACTGAATTGGATAGTATATCTTCCCCTGTGAAGAGCTCAGTGAGAGCCCTAGAGAACTTAACAGTGAGGCTTTTATTGTGTTCACTGTATTGCTTGCCAAAGACTTGAACAGCTTGAAATGTAAGGTGCTCATTAGCCGTCATAGTGTCTTGCCAGCAATAGTAGACTTAAGAATCTGTCAATGTTTCAGTCACAACTCTGTATCTCACCTGTGACAAATCACATCAGGCAGAAACTTGGTGTAGATGTTTATTTTTAAATAGCTTAAATTCACAGCATTGCTTTGGTTTCATGATGAAAGAATGTAATATGAATTGGTCTGAATGTCTTTTTCATTTCATTAGACAGCTATCCTAATGATAATGTTTTAATTAAACATTCTAGAACTACACTTGGATACAAGATTTAATAAATCATACTTATTTAGACTGACCGTTAAACTTACAGTAAATAAATCCTTAAGACTCTTTTAACTGAAGCAGCAGCAATTTTACCAAGTCAGTCAGCAGAGATGCTTATTTCCTCAAATTGGAAGATTTTGATTGAAAAGTAGCAATAAAAAAAGCTTTTGATGATTTTATTTAGAATAGTCTTAACTTCCATCAATGATGAAAAAGCTTAATTTTTAACCCTTTTTCAGGGGGGTTTTATACCTTTATAGCTCTTTATTTACTAGAAACCTCAGTTATGGGAAAGAATGATTTTACCTTCCCCAGCTTCTGTGTGTTTGCGTTATTACTGCTGAGCTCTGCAATATTGGTTAATCCCTGTGCCCTACTTACCAGGTTTTTTTTTCAATACAGTCTCTCAACCAACCTCTTACTAGAATGAGGGTGAGGGAGTTAATCTGGTCTGCTTTCTATCAGCTTATAAGTTAAATTTTCCTAAGAGTTTCCACCTTGTCACAGAAACAGTTTAAACAATTTAAAATTTTGAAGGATAAAATTGTATACTTGCTCTTGAAGGATGGAAGTTCTAATTACTGGTAATCATTTATAGGCTGACCAGCTTTCTAGGGAAGCTGCTGGATTAGAAAATACCTTTTGTAATGAAGTTCTACAATTAGCATTACTTGTCTCCTTTCTTGATGCAAGTTTAGTACCTTTGACTTGCATAGGACTGTAGAGAGTAATCCATGTACCTTCGAGTAGTAGATGGTATACTGTGAAGAGATACTATACAGAAAGTTTTAGCAGTAATTTGGATAGTGCTGCCATTCTGACAAACAATGTTCACTTGGGCTGCTCTGGAGTACTCTCCACATTAGACTTTTTCAGATGCCTTTAGAAACAATAACTCAGTCTTTACAAGGAGATAGTAAATAAGAAAAAATTATTTCCCTGTTATTTACTAGTGTGTTTTAATTTTTTAATATTTTAACAAAATGTGGAAACAATACATGGATATTATTTGCAGATATCTTGGGTTAATGGAGCCAGTGTTCAATTCCACCGAAGTAAGAGGAAGGAATAAAAATAGACATCTTTACTAAAACTGCTTTAGGAGCCAGTGCTATTAAAGTGTGTAGCAGTGCATGAGTCATTAGCTATCCCTAGAGAAGCCAGGTTTATTGTACTTAATGTAGAGGATTAGGCACATCCAGTTCCCGCTAGAGAGATTCCTTTTCTTCATTTCAGTAGAAAATACTTGTGTGATTCACACAATGGCTATCAAAAATGTTTTTTGCCTGAGCCAACAAAAATGAGTATGTAAGCCAGAAGAATGCAGTATGTCCTAAAATCTGCTGCTTATGCTCTTGCTTGTTATCTGAACATCTGTAGAATTTGTTTTCTATCCTTTTACCAAATTAGAAAAGGAGATCTCTTATGGTAAAGCCAAGACAATGTAGTGGCTTTTTCAGGATGGCTTTGGATGAATCTTGATATCACAGATGCATCAGTATTTCTGTGTTAAATTCATTATTATCTTTTGTAATTGTCTTCTGTTCCAACAGGAATTTCCACAGATGAAAATGGATCTACATCAGTTACCAGTCAACCTGTGCATCAGAAGGAGAATACACCATCTTTACTTGTAACAAGCAATTCTGATCAATTTCTGACAACTCCTGATGGAGAAGAAAAAGATATAAGCCAAGACAGTTCAGAATTAAAACACAGGTCTTCAAAGAAAGACTTGTTGGAGATAGACAGGTTTACTATTTGTGGAAACAGAATTGACTAAGATTTTTTTTTTTTTTTTATTGATGTGCTAAGGATACTGAGCTGTTGGGACAGCAGATGCTACCAGAATGGACAGTTGCTAAAAAAGGCACATAAATATTTATTTAAAAACTTAAATTATTAATGGCAAAAAATATTAATTTCTTTCTACAAGTAACTTGGCTTGGTATCTGGTCAGGTCAAGTGAGAGATCTTTAACTTGCCTCTTGGAAAATGTGGTGGATCATGAGTCTCTAGCCTGGTGGCAGAGCTGCAATATCACTTTTCTGGAAAATAGACTGGAAAAAAGCGTAATCCTGTTCTGCGTTATGAAACCGTGCTTCCAGAACATACTACTTTTCATGAAGGTTCCTCCAGTATAAGGATATTCCTGGAAATGTATGACAACTTGACCGGAAGCTTGCCTTTCCAGTTACCTTGTTTTAATAAACATCTACAGCAGAATTCAAAACTTGTGCTTATATCAACAAATGCATAAAGCATTGGTACATAAAACAGTAAGTCAAGATAGTTATTCTCGTCAACAAAAATATTTTCAAGATGTATCTTGAAAATCTTGTAATCAGAATAAAATTTTTCCTTTAAATGAAAGATATACTGCATACTATTTTATCTAAATACTAAACACCAAGGAGAGATCACAGTAATGCAGGTTCTGCTTAACTGGGCAAATATGAAGCATATTCATTTCTTGTGTTGTGTGTCCTGCAAGGCAAATTATTTATGAAATTATTTTTAAAAGCTGAGGATTTTTTGTTGCTGTAGGGGAAAATAATAAAGGGGCACTTCTATATGTTGAGGAAAGGCAGTGTTAATTGCAGCAAGCAAGTGTTGTGTTGGAACTGTATGTATAGCATTAACGCAGCAGAAAAGACTACTACACTGCATTTTGAGTTTAACTGATCAGAATGACATCTGTTAACTTGCCTGAGAACATGTCTGTAAAAGCTCATACTGATGATCAAACCAGAATTCTCCATTTTAGTTGATTGATTTTAGCCAAACTTAAGTAGAAGGACTAGATCTATAAAGAGCAATTACAATGCATCCTAATTTCTGGTGTGAGATACAGTTGTGGGAGAACTGATCAAAGATGGTTTGGAATCCTCAGACCAAGAATGGAATAAATTTGAGCTCAAAACTTAGGCTGGAGTCTTGTATCAGAAGAGACTCTTCAGTTAATGATAAATTCTTCATATATTGTTGTTGAAACACAGCATATTTAAGTAAGCACCAGTTTCACTTTCCAAGGGAAGGTATCATAAAGCTACTTCAGTGCTTAAAAAGTGAAGACAAAATTTGCTTTTAGCTAATTTCATAATTTGTCACAGTGTGAGCCAAAGGTTATTTGCTTTATGAACACCTGAAAGTTTAATGTGTGTGCTAACCCCTGAAACTTGCAGGACTACAGTGATATAGCAGATGGAGACAGTTGGACAGTTACGTATCTGAGCAGACTTGGTAATGAGCTAACTTTGCTGTACAGGTTAACGTGGTCTGCTCTGTTGGGAACTTACTGCTGCCTTTCCTCTCCCATCAAAAGTAGCTGGAGTAACGGCCAAAATCTGTGGTTACTGTTGTTCAGGGATGAAAGTAAAAAAAAAAAAAAAAAAGTAATTGTGCTGGGAAAAAAAACCCTTAAATTCTTTAATATTTAATGTATTTTATATTAATTGGAGATGTTCACACATTGAAATTCAGATTATCTGTCAATTTGGTGTATCTTATTTTTGAATTATTTAGCAGTTGCTAAAGAAGGCTTGGAATTGCTTTCGGGTTTTTTTTCTGTTGAATGACATTCTGTATCAATTTTATAAGTGCATCTTGTGTGAAAATAAAATTCAATTTTGTAATATTTGTTTAAAAAAGTACAGCGTTGACATTTCTTTCTTAGTATTCAGAGTTGGTGAACTTGCAGTGTATCTACTGAATTAAATTCCAATTTCCATAAAAATTCCTGCAAATGTGGGACATGAATGTGCGTAAGAACTGAGTTATCAGTGGCTTTACTTCTGATTTATTTCTGTACCAGTTGGTTATTGCCACTTGTAGGAAGAAGGTATTAATGCCAACGTACTATTTTCTTTTTTAAAGACAAAACCCATGTAAATGAAAAAATACTGTCTTAAGGGAGTTGTAATTTATGTAGTCCGTTACTACAATTGGACTAGTTCCACCTACCCAGCAAAGCCAAATGCAGTTGCAGTATAAGCTTAGGCAAGTCCTTTCCTGAGCACATGACAATGAAAAGGTAATGGCTAACTGCGCTTAAGTCCAGGTCCTCGCCCAGACCCTCATTTGAGGCTGTGAGCCTTTGCTGCTTTGTTTTTACATTTGAATTGTGGTTACTAGATGTAAAGCAGTATAGGTGGGCTTTGGGATATGACTGTTACATCTCTGTTGTGTAGGCATAACTTTGTTAACTTGAGGATCACCATAATTCAAAGGTATACTTGAGGCACTGGTTATAGAGGGCATTGCAAATGCAACATTTGCCCTTAAATTCTCTTGAGAGTCTGCCAGGGGCCCAACTGGGTGTGAAATTTCATTATTTTCTCTTGCTCCAAGCTCTATAATTGTTCTCATGGATTTTTTCATGATTATTAGGGATTCATTGAATATCTAGTGGTGCATCTTTAATGAAAGGTCATAACTTCTCTGACCCTGGGTAGTCCTCTCAGAACTCTAGAGGTGGCTGAGGGAGAACGAACCACAAAACAACAAAAAAGAAAAAACAGCAACCCCGAATTTCTTGTCTATAGATACAGTTCTTTATTTCTTTAGGTTTTCATGAAGAGCTTCTGTCTCAACAGTGAAATAAGAGCATCAGGGGTTAAGTAGTGAATAAATTGAGTTATTCCGTTCATAAATGCATAAATTCAAAGCAGTGATATTTCAACTAAAGTCACAGTTGCCAAATTAATTCCAAAAGTACACACTGAGTACAGTGTATATTCATAGTGGGAGCATTAAGGAACAACTGTGTTTTCAATAGGATTATTTAATTAATCTTTAGAAGTCTTTCAGATGTTCATCAGCTGAGCAGAATTTCCCCTCAAGCAGAGTAGTTTTACAATCACAAGTATGCTGTTCATTTACTTGCCTCTTAATTTAGAGTGGGTTTGTTAAAACTTTTCAGCTTGGTCTTGCTTTTTTGTGGTGCAAAATTTTTTGTGTTCTAATTTCAGAAATCTAGTTTTGTAAGTCAGTATAGTTGTTGAGATCACTGTTGTTAAAGCTGGTATTTGCCCAGTTGTGGCTGCTATGCCAGCTCAGCTGTTGGGCTACAATTCTGAATCACTTTGGTCATGGTAAGCAAGGATGAATGCAACTTAATTATAGCACAAATGCAATCATTCTGTGAAACTTCTGAAACATTGCAACATATTTTCTTAGAAACTGGTTTGTTCCATTGTGAGTAAACTAGGAGTTGTCACCAACTGTGTCAGTCTTGGGTAATTGTGGTTTCAGAAATGCTTTTCACAATTACTAAACAAAGTTTGCTCTTAAACTTCAGAGTAATTGCTCTTTCTTAGAAATTTGGACTATGTTAATTTTGCTGACTCCAAGGAAGCAAATACTTTTGTGTAAGTGCAAAGCAGCTAGCAAAGGGGGCTGTAACGCTGTGAAAGCAGTGCAACAGGACCATCTTCATCTCAGGGAAGTTTTTCTGTATATAGTGATACGAGATGCTTAGACTATGAAGGCTATCAAAAACACCTAACATATCACTTCTATATGTTTTTAGGAGAATAGTATCTTCCATCAGCCATGCAAACTAAGCCTGGACCTGGCTACACTTTTTTTAGGACTTCAGTATCTGTTATACTCTGGTTTAGAAAAAGTGCTGCCAGCTGAAGAGTTATAAAGAGGGATCATGAATATGTAACACCAACGAACACTCTTTAGTAAGATCACAGCTTTTACAAGAGAAAAATCAAAAAACATAGTTTTTTAGATTATTTCCCAGTTTTGACCACAACACTATTATCATGTTTGCAATGAAATAAACTCAGATTTTAAAATGTGCCCTCTTGTAAATGTGCTGCCCACCTGTACCTCACAGCTACTGTTTCAGGTTATGAAGACTGTCATTTCTTTCATTCATTACTACTTCGTAGAAGAGTAATGCTGTCAAGCAGAGCCAAGGTTTCATTTGTAACTGGAGGCAGTTTTGTCTTACAGCTGAACTGCAGAAAAAGTTGAGAGAGCAAGAGAGGAGTCGATTCTTTGTGAGTACAAAGGTGTGGGTTGCAGCAGCACTACCTTGGGTTCTAATTTTTTTAGGGTGAGTGGTGCGGTTCTATTTTAAACTTTGTTAAATAAATCCTTTATTGAATAGGCAAACACATTGCATGGATTATACATTATCTTACATTTACTGTATTGACATATTTTTATCAGAAATTGTTAATCTGAGATTGGTGGTATGAGAGCAGTGTTGCAAGGTAAGAGCAAATTTTGTTGTTCAGGGACACAGGTTTTGGTGTTGCTTCTTCCCAGCCATGCTCAGTTTGTTGGACAAAAGCAGTAATAAGTTTCTGTGTATGTTGACTGCTTTGAGTATCAGAAAGAGTATGTTCCTGTGGTACCCTGTCCTCACAGATGCTAGTATCTGCTGTTCCTGCTGAAAATAAGTATCAAGGTAGCTCAGGAATCGCTTGTTTTATGCTGACAGTTTAAAACAGGTAATTCAGTGAAGTGGAATTTTGGAATCATTGGAAGTGATGCCTCTGATCTACTGAGAAGTCTGGCAATAAAACTTAAAATTCACCACTGAACAGCACATTTTTAGGCTCGGTACACCAAATCAAAACAGGAATGTGTTTGAGTTGATGCTAGCAAGTACAATCCTGGTGACAGGACTGTCAGTCCAAAATTTTCCTGCAGATTTGATTTGAACTTGACATTCTTGTTAAAGGCAGCCATATAGCTATCAGCCAACTTATTTCTATAGCTAAGGCAGCAGAACCTCTGCTAAACTAGTCTCTTCTGGAAACAATTCTTGAAGTGTCATGTATATATGTATCTAACTCAAATCTATGGGATCTTGTTTTCAGGTCAGTTAACACTTTGTGCCCTTTGGACTCCTGCAAGGCATAGCTGTAATGAAAACGAATCTTGCATTGAGGCTTGGCACTAGCTACTGATTTGAGACAATGTTCTTAATAGAGTGGCAGAGAACCCCCCTGTTAGGCTGACGTAAAAATTTGAGTTGTCTTTAGCCACTTAAAATTACCTTGACAAGTGAAGGAGGAGAGCAAATTCTGCTCCATCTGAGGTAATAGTTTATGGTACTTGTTTGGTCATTTAGTGACCACATGCTGTTCTGCCTCCATGCAGGCAGGAGTAAATTCTCTAGCTAATTTTTGTGGTAGACCCTCATTTCTTAAAAAGCAAAGACCAAAGCCCCAGTGTGTATTTAATAAGTGATTTTTTTACAATAGATGTTCTGCTAATGGCATCAGAGTAATTTTACGGAATTGATTTACCTGCTTTGTAGATCTTATATTCAAAATGACAAGTTGCATAAGTTAAGTTTCAGCTTTTGATCTGAATACACATGTCACATTGCTATTTAATTGATTTGACGAGTTTAGTTTCTAAAACTAATATTTCAGTAGTCCCAATTTTCCGTAATGTAGATTTTTCTCCCAAAGGGCATGTGGGCAGTAGGTGTGCTAAGTTCTTGATATGCTAACCAAACTGCAAACCCTAAGAAAGAAAAATACAGGCTCCATAGTTTCACATAACCAATGTGAGGAGGAAGATAATCTCTGGTGTGAGCAGTCCATGAGAGCAGCAAGAGAACAATTCACACTATACTCAGTTTGCAGGTCTTACAGTTCACTTGTAAATTCTCCTTATAGTTTAAACACCAAGGAAATGAGCTAGTTCTTAAATCTGTTTTCCATGCTGTCATTTCGGGTATGTCAGATTTTCATTGGTTATTCTAGTGTTCATCCAGGCCATAATCTGCAGGGTTGGTTTTTTTAAGACAAAAGGCTGAATAGATCTTGTCTGTAGAGGAAAATATTCTCACTGGAATTTAACTTGGGAAGGAGTCTTGGACTATTAAAAAAATGTTGGTTGTCTTATTTTATAGTGATTACCTTTTCTTCCTCTAAAGACAATTGCTGGCGTTTGGTTTGCCATAATATTCGAAGTAGCTGTCAGCAGCCTGTTGTGAATTGTGAGGTGGGGATCAAATTGTCAGTGTTATGATTTCACTACTGGATAGTACAAGGACATCTGGTAGCCTTCAGACACAATCCTACAGTGGCTATAAACCAGAGCTCTTTAATTAATGAGAAGTGTGACCTAAAAGCAACATGAAACCTGTTAATTCTGTTTAGCATATTGTGAAGCATTTGGAAGTCTCTCCTAGTGTCTTGACAAGGAATTGTTCAGGATATTTTCCACAGAAGAAATAATCAGTGATTTTTTTTTTTTCCTCCTGCCTACTGTAGGGTAATGCTTATTAGACTGGGGCTTTGAAAGCCTGTGTCATTTATATGGTTGCTAAAGATTTACAAAGAATATATATATTATTTCATTTATTTAAAAACAGGGACGGGGGGGCTGATAAATAACTTCAACCTGTGGAAAAAAAAATGTTTGAAAATAGCCTCTGCAAATGAAGAACTTCATACATGAAGTGTAACAGGAGGAATGAATGACTTGCATTTGAGTGCACGTTTCCAGAGATGCATTTGTATATGTTCACAGGGTAGGGACAAAGTGTAGTGTAAAGTCTGCTTTTATTGTCATTCCACACTCCAAAGCTGTGCCATTTTGTCACCCTGGCTGTCAGCCTAGCCCCTTCAAATCAACCCAACGGTCCCTAATTGAAATTTGGCT